TTCAAAGCAATTTCATTATTTTTGCGTATTTTATTTATAAACACAAACATATCAACCAGAACCATTCAATTTTCAAAATTTAAAAAGTGGCAGTTAAAATTCATAAAAATTCTCTTATTACTATCAAAAAGACTAATATTTTTATACTCATTTAGTATGCTTTTTGTTTTCGATCTGCATGCCTCAGACGACTTCGAATACGCCATGCAAAGCATTCAAAAATATGGCTGGACATTTATAGTGCTTCTAATATACGCCACTACTCAACAAAAATCTTGTTCTGTTTTAAAATTATTAAAATTAATTCAAACAAATACTGTGATCCCACAAAAATTATTATCATCACATTTTTTAATACTTTTTATTGCATATTGTGCATCATATACGTTTCAAGGCACTGGATTCCTATTATATTTCATGTTTATTCCAAATCCTTTCGTGACAGTATACGAGTTTTCAGTTTTTGTGATAGGTTATGTCCTGGCCATATTTCATATTTCTATGATTTGTACTTTTGAGAGTTTAATATATCAACAGTATCATGCGTATAATCAATGGTTGCGGATCAAAATTAAAGAACGAAAACGTGTTTCGTTAAAAATGAATGTTATTATGAGTTTGTGCAAGCAATGTCGTCTGTTGAATCGATCATTTGGAGGTTATGTATTATGGAAGTTGTGTTATACATACGTGTCGACTATTTTAGCTGTGTATTATACGTTGTATGTGCCAGGAACTATTGTTATCACGTCAGTTTGGTTCAGCTCTGTGATGAGCGAACTGTTGTTGATTGTTTATTTTCATGAGCGACGATTGAATGAGGTAATAATTTTTTAATTTTCGACTTTTCTTTTTAAACGGAGTATAAGTATCTATTTTTAATATTTGAATTGTTGAGACTTTTACTTGATGAAATATTAATAGTATATTAAGTAGCAAGTTGTTAAACTGGCGTTTTTGTCACCAGATTGATTGATGGCGGGCATTTTATATGGTTTTGTGCCAAACCGTTGACAAATGCGCAGGTGCAAGCTCCACCCTGTGACTAAAGCCCGTGACTAAAGTGCTTTAATGACAGCATTGGCCGTCCGTGTTTGAAGTACCACTTTCTGTGTCTAAAACCCATGAAAAATTGGCACTTTTATGATAAAAGTTGAAAAATTAATTTATTAATAAAAAAATGGTTTTACTAGGTATTTCTCTACATTATCGGTCTGATGATGGCATAGTATGACATATTATGTCACAATGTTCAATAACAATAACGAAATGAACAAAAAATCCGTTTTTTGTATTGATAAATAATTTTTTTAATGTAGGCAACCAAGCATATAGAAATTAATTATTCTTACACTATATGCAACACACATAACACATTAATGAATATACTTATCTTGATCACGAACAAATAAACATGTTATTATGTTATATTTATATTCAGTTCACTAAGATAACATTAATTAAATTAAATTAATTTTCTTCAGTTAGTTCTTAGTTCTTTTATCATTGACAACAAAAGTATATAAGCAGTTTGAGACAAAATGTCAACTTGTTCTTTTAAACCAATATTATTTTTCTATGGACTTACATTTCTCAATACAAAAATATCAACAAAAACCGTTAAAAACCAAAAATTAATTAAATTACTAAAATTAATCTTAATAACAATAAAAATAGCAATTGTTTCAAGTGTCTGGATAATTCTTTTTTATTATTCACCAGAAATACCAGACATATTCGAATGGATATTACAAATAATCCAAAAAATAACGTGGTCACTAATGATAACACTTCTTTATGCAACATCCAAACATCATTCTTATACAATATCAAAACTAATACTTTTAATTCAAAAAAATTCAAATGAAATAAAACTATCATCGCCATTTATAAAAATATTTCTAATCTACATCACTTCGTATCTTATTCAAAGCATCGGCGACATGATATTATACGTAGACAGCCCCAATTCATATTTTACATTGTTGCAAAGCAACGTATATCAGTTTGGTTCTGTTTTGGACACGTTTTACATCGCGGTAATTTGTACCTTTGAAAGTTTAATATATCAACAGTATCATGCTTATAATCAATGGTTATTGAAGCAAATTTCAAAAAAAGAGTTATTGCGGTTAAAATTAAGTGTAATTGTAAATTTATGTAAGCAATGTCGTTTGTTGAATCGCGCATTTAGAGGTTATATGTTGTGGAAGATGGGTTACATATACATATCATCAATTACAGCGTTATTTTATACTTATTTACATGATGGTGCTATGGAACATTTTAATACGTTTTGGATATTTTCAATGCTCAGCGAAATATTGTTGATTGTTTATTATTATGAGCGACGATTAAAAGAGGTATATAATTATTAAATTGAAGTATTAATTAGTGATGTGTATTAATTATCGTTTTAATTAATTAATAATCAGACATTTTTATCAATTTATTTATTAATTACTCAAGTCATAAGCAGAAACAAGTGGAATTTTCATATTAATTAAAAATATTCCTTCAGTATTTCAATAATATTTATCGTAAAATGACTGAAACACGACGCAAAATGTCTTTAAACAAAAGTTTTCATTTAGTATTATTATCATTGTGGTTTATAACCTCACTTCATACCTATCTACCGTTATTATCATTGTATCTTCACTTATAATCTACGAATTTTTCGATTGTTTTCGTTTTTGTAATGCATATTTCCTCACTTTATAAAAAAGCATTATATCAATATATATATATATATATAAATGAATTGCTGTTCGTTAATCTCGCTAAAACTCGAGAACGGCTGAACGGATTTATCTTATCTTGGTCTTGAATTATTCGTGGAGGTCTAGGGAAGGTTTAAAAGATGAGAAAAATTCGAATAATTGCCGGGAAAATCCTCAAAACAGCTCTTTTCTATAGAATAAAATTTGACATTGAGATTCAATCATAGTTATAGTTAAATAGTTGAATTCGAGATGGCGCGCTAAAGTGCATTATTGACTAAACTTTATATAATTAATTTCTTTAAATTAAAATTGCTAATCTTATTGATAGAATTGACTCTTACTACGAGTATGTCTAGAACAAGAGAGTAAAAACGAATTACACTTTTATTAAACACTACCAGGACGAAGTCGCGGGCAAAAGCTAGTATTTTATAAATTCAGAAATTTGGTAAATTATTATCATGAACAGCAATTAAAAGAAGTAAAAACAAAGTAAAAACACTTTTAAAATAGAAGGAAAATATAATTATGTGATTAATGTCTTTGTATCCTTAAGTAAATATTAATTAACTATACTCTATAATGTATTCATTAATTAATCTACCTATTAGAAGCAACCAAATAGAATTCGTGTATTAATTAAAACTATTTCTTCAGTATTTCAACGATATTATTAGTAAAATGACTGATAGTCAAAGTAAAACGTCTAAAATGTCTTTAAACAAAAGTTTTCACCTAATATTACTACCCCTGCAGTGTATATTAATACCACCATTGTGCTACACCTTCAAAAAGAGCAAACAACAATTTAAACCGCGGCCTAACCTCACTTTATACCTATTCATCGATATTATCTTTGTATCTTTACTTATAATTTACGGATCTTTTGCTTGTTTCCGTTTTCGTTACGCTAACTACCCCACATTACTAAAAAGCATATTGTTTTTTCACAAATTCGGAAATTTGGTGAACATATTCGTTAGTTACATCCACGTAAAATCATCTTTTCCAAAAATGTACAACTTAATCAACCAATTGAATAATTCACATGAGAAATATCAGTGTTTTCGTGGTGATTATAAACACACCGTATACATAACCTATATTTACTATATTCTACAGAGTATTATTAGTGGTATCGCAATTTCTATCAACGTAATAATTTATTTAAGTGATGATAAAATTGCTTACATGACGTATTTCGAATATTCGCTATTCATCTTTGGTTACTGCTTGAATTACTGTGATTTAACAATTTTGTTATACTTTGATTGTGTTTTTATTGAACAATATGTGATTATAAATCAGTTGATACAAAATGGCGCTGATAATAACGGCCATTTTGTGCATAATATCAACTTAGACATTATAAATAAACATTATACGATGTGTTTAGATATACAAAGAAAGTTGAGGAGTATTATGGGACCTGTAGTGTTGTATAAATGTTACAAATGTTTCGGATCGTTTGTTGTGGGCGTTTATTTCTTGGTTTTTGAGATGTCTTTCACGAACACTATGTGGGTCGTGATGAATATTATCGATATCGTTGTGATTGTATATTGTGAATATTTGATATGTAATGAGGTGAGTTTTGGGAATAAAAATGGGCAAAAGTTGCGCCCCCGGGTGGGCTCGAACCACCAACCTTTCGGTTAACAGCCGAACGCGCTGCCCATTGCGCCACGGAGGCTTGTTGCTTACGCTTTTCTCTTACTGAAGATAATATACATATGTTTTAATCTTTTAGGTTTGCATTGACGTGTAGTTGAGATAATTAATTATATATTTTGTTTCAGTCGTCTAAAACAGCTCTATTGTATGAACAAGCAATTAAAAAACAAAATAACTCACATTTAAAGGTAGAAAGTTGTTTCAGCTAAGAGAATGACTAAAGTATTGCTTAATTATTAATTTTAGCGTGGAATGTTTTATCTGCAAGTCCAATATCAACGTAATAACTTTTCTGTGTGTGGTTTGTTTAATATTAGTTGGAACTTTCTTCTTGGGGTGAGAAAAATGTTTAAAAACGAAGTAAAACTTAAATTATTTTTGTCTTTTTGTTTGTTTGTAGATGTTTGGAAGCGTTCTCACAAATTTAGTCATTTTACTGCAATTTAGAAAGTTAACTGATCAAAAGAGTTAGATTGTAATTGTTAATCATAACTTGTAATAAGAATAAATGTATTTTAATTATTTTATTGAATTTATGGATGATTGTTGCTGAATCTACTTTTACAATAGGCAACCACATATACACCAAATTTTAGTGAAAATTTTCAGATTTATTTTGGAAATAATGTTTAAATCAGTTGAAGTAATGTATAATTAATAACCTACTGATAATATTTTATAATTTACGCAACTCTGGATGGGTAAATTAACAAAGAAGAGAAGTAATTCTTTGAATTTGTGTCAAAATATGTCACAAGACGAATCAACGAATTTAAGTTTCTAACCTAGAAAAAGTTAACCGCCGACCGAGCGTGTTTCTTAAATGTGTTGTCCAGGGTTGTTTGCTGCAGTTTATTGTGTGTAACTCGAATCACCTCACTGAAAATACATAAATATATCCATACCATTCCGACAATTCAACAGGTAATACATTACTCTTATTATTCTTCTACTTTTATCTCAAGTTTTACTTAATTTTTACTTCCAGAGGTGAAAATGAGTGTCCCACAAATCACCCTCGACCAGACCGTGGACAACTCCCGTATGCACAACATAGACGCGTTACAACAAGCAGCGCGTTTCCTAGACAGATGCCTAATCAAGGACAATACAGCTCCAACTCTCCTGGAGCAGTTAAACATTGGAAATCAACAGAATACAACAACAGCAAGTGGTTTATCAGACCATGACTATCCAATTCTCAATGGATTACCACCTAGTCTTGCTAATAAAACCCAAATGAAGACTGTAAACAGAGTGCCAATGCCAGCTGAAATTATGGAACACTTTAATCGTATCCTTTTTCATATTATAACACATTTTTCTTATCTTCATCAAAAATTACAGTATTTTTCTTAATTTTTTTGTAAAGATATGCAATGTCATTGTATGATGGGCCTATTCCCAGAGATAAATAGAGCTTGGTTAACAATTGACAGTGATATTTATCTCTGGACGTTTGAAGATGGTGGAGATGTTGCCTACTATGATGGTTTGAATGAAACAATCCTAAGCGTAGGACTAATCAAACCAAAACACGCCGTTTTCCAAAATTTTGTTAAACATTTACTAGTGTTAGCCACAGCTGTTGATATTGTTGTCTTGGGAGTGACTTTTACTTCCGATGAGGACGACGCAATGAAAGAAATCCAATTATTTTCGGATCCAGTGTTTTCTATTCCTACAGATGGATCTTTGGTGACTACTATTGTCGGTACCAATAGTGGAAGACTGTTTTACGGCAGCAAAGATGGATGTTTATATGAAATTACTTATCAGGTAAGTAAAAATTTAATCAAAATGAAGTTTTTGTTATGTTATTGTGTGTTTTAAGGCTGAAAGTAGTTGGTTTGGTAAACGATGCAAGAAAATCAACCATTCTACAAGCAAACTTGCATTTCTGGTGCCTTCTTTTGCCTACGCAGCGATGGCGAGTGAAGATTCTGTTATTCAAATCGTCCTGGATGATACCCGATACATTTTGTATGTTTTAACAGAAAAAGGTTCAATTGAAGCGTATGATATGGGAGATAATGGTACATCTTTAAGTCGCATTGGGAAATTGACACAGAATAATATCGTACATCAAGCGCATTCTATAGTCAAGTAAGTTAAAATGTTTAAAAAAATCAAAATGGCGGGTTATAATGTAGTTTTTTTAATAGGACATTAGACTCTCAGAACTTTCATCCGATTGTCTCAATCTCTGCTGTTGAATTAAGCGAGTCTGCTCGTGTGCATCTGGTTGCCATCACACAAAGTGGTGTACGGTTATACTTCACAACTTACACGCAATCGCAGATTAATCTTCCTTCACCACGGCCGACAACTTTAGCGTTGTTGCATGTACGTTTACCACCTGGATACTCCGCAGGCGCACATTATCGTCCACGCGCAATACACATGGCGAATTATCGCGAACGTACGGTTGTGATGGTCTCCAGCGTAGCCGAAAAGGAAACTCTTTGGTGTCTGAGTTCAGATCTGTTTCCATTCTGTCCGAGTTTAATGGAAGCGACGACTACAATCGATCTAGATGGACCTGTGTTAGCTCTGGCTGAGGTTAAGTATCCTACTAATATATTACTGCAACCCACACAACAAGTACCGCCATTGGTAGTGCGGCAACATTCCGAACCACCGAGAAAATATGTCATTCTCACCGCACAAGGCGCGCATATTATGATAAAACAACGTCCAGTTGATTTGTTGAAACAATTATTATTGGATACACGCGCTTTGGATACTGACATCCTAAAAGCGTTCTTTAGTATACAGCAGGAGGAGCAAGCGTGTGCTACGAGTTTGATTTTGGCGAGTTTAGAATCACCACAGAATGCTGAATTGTCTGAACATGCAACTACAGCGTTCTTTATTTTTGGTGGTGAACCACAACTTGCGCCGCAATATGGCGGAAATCAACAGTTCAATCAAACACAACAATGTGAGTAGTAACATAACCTAACATAAGTTTATTATAACCTTTAATTTTTTATCTTTAAAAGTCGGAACATCGTTTTTGCCTAATATGATGTCAACTCCAATGGGTAGCCCGTATCAACCACAATCCCAACCACAATCACCTATGGGTCCATCTTTCTATAGTTCTCCAATGAATCAAACACAAAACTTTGTACCAATGCCGCAAAATCCGCAGATGATGGGCGGTAACGCCCTCTATGATGCGAATTGTCCGTTCTTTTTCTCGCCGAAACACAACGGGCTGTATTTATATGTTGGGCGAATTCTAAGACCAATTTGGAATCTCAGATGTGTTGAAAAGATGACTTTAGATGCCAAAAAGTTCTATGTAAGTAGTTAAACCATTCTAACCTAACTTTTTAAAATGATTTCTTGTTATACAGTTAACTAGCGCCATTGATCATGAAAACTGCGCTTGGATTCTCTGCCATCTTGAATCACTCTGCACGTTTTTACAACGCAATACACAACTCACACTCTGCTCCGGAAAATATCAACCTCCATCTGATAAACATTCGCGATCGAGACTCACACAACAAGACGCGCAACTAGAAGAGCGTCAATCATTGGAATCACTGAAATTATTCGTCAATCACACAACACAAGTGATTGGCCTGTGGAAAATCCTAACTCAACATCAATTCCATATTCTGATGGAGAGTCTTCCACCAAATCATCAACAACTTCTACAGAATACAACTTTCAAGGATGTCTTTCTATTCGGACATGAAATCTGTTGTAACTTGATAAATTCATTGATTAATAGTTATCTGGGTGACAATGCATCTGTGGATTCTATAAGCGCAAAGTTGCGAGACACTTGTCCGAGTTTATACAAAGCGGAAGACGCTGCTTGTTCAAAGGTAAGCAATGATAAAGAAGTGGAGGACTTTGGATATAATGATTGCATCCGGTACGTCACATTATTAACCTATAATGTTTTGTTTTTTATATTAATGTTTGATAAAGGCCAACGAAATGCTCAAATCGGCGAAACACGTGATGAATATCGACGAACGCGAAGAATTGCTACATCAGGCGCTAGGTTTGTGTAAAAATGTCGCGCCGAATGTGAACTTGCCTGAAATCTGCGGGCAGTTCACTACTTTGAAGGCGTATCAAGCTGTTGTGGATCTATGCGTCACATGCGCGAAGAAATTCGACCCGGAAGATATCGCCGTACATTTTTACAAGAACGCGGATCAGAATGACGAGGATGCGTATCAGTTTTATTTGCGGCGCATGGAAGTGTATAAGGAGGTGGTCGCCATGTTGGATCATGTACATTCGACGCATGATAATACTATTACTAATATTGCTGGACAGGGACAAGGGGATGTCACGCAGGAAACTACAGGAAGTCAAATTGTAAGTGATTTTAAAAGTTTTCATATAAATTGTTTGAAAATGTTTATTTATGTGTAGACAAGGAAAATTATTACTGAAATACTACGTGAAGATGATGAATTGTTGCATATTGCTGTATATGATTGGATGATGAACAAACAAATGAACGGCGATCTTATTAGCATTCAACAACCGACGTTGGAGACCTTTTTGGTTAAGGCTTCGCAGCGTAATCCTAATAATATTCATTTGATGGATATTCTATGGAAATATTATGAGAGTAATAATAATCACGCGGCAGCTGCACGTGTTCTTAATGCTTTAGCATCAGCTGAAGAGTAAGTGTTTGTTAACCTAAAATTTTAGGTTATAACATATAACTAGGTTACGTCATTTTATTTTATTCTAATATTTCAGAAATGGTTTGATGTTAAGAGATCGCCTCACTTATTTAGCACGCGCGTTAATGTGCATGCGCAGTGATAAAGTTGGTTACGCTCCGTATTTAGGTGTGTTTCTGCGTGAATTAGAAGATAAACTTGAAGTGGCCAAGGTGCAGGAGCGTGTGTTAGACGCGGTGGTGATTCTGAAAGGACGCCATATTGATGCGGAGATGGCCGAACAACTGCTCAATGGTAAACTGTTTGAGATCACGCAGTTGTATGAAGATTTCGCGGATAAATTCGAGCTGTGGGAGTGCAAATTGGCGATTATTAACTGCGCAGGATATTCAGATACACTCCTAATTGAAAATATCTGGAGTAATATTATTCAGAATGAGTTGCATAAGGCAGGCGCGTATGGAAATGATAAACTGATTCATATTTTGGTTAAAATTAAGGGTTTGGTTAAGATTTATAAAGGATCTGGGAGTTGTGTGCCATTAGGTAGGTTTATTGTGATGTTTTGTTTATTAAAATGGTTTAAATTGTGTTTTTTGTGTGTTAATAGATTATTTAGTACTGGAATTGGAGAGAATCAGTGCACAATTGAAGGCTGATACATCTTTAGTGCCGAAATTCTTTGTAAATTTAGATTATACAGTGGAAGTCTTGATTGCGGCTTATAATAAGTAGGTGGTTTAATTTTTAAGTGAAATAATGATAGATTAATATTAATTTGTTTAATTTTGTTAGTGCTATGGGCTCAGCAGCGAAAGATAACTTCTGGACCAACGAAACGAATGAAAATCACTTCTCCGAGGCGATTGGTGCTGTGATTCAGGCATTTATCGACACACAGAATAAATATACCAATGCAGATAAGTAAGATTAATTTAAAATTAAATTAAAAGAATAGTTTTAATCATTTCTTGCTTGGTTTTGTTTGTTAATAGGAGAAAAATGATAGCCATTTCCTTGGATACGGTAGCAGGTCTATTGTCGCTTTTGTACAGCAAGCCAAACACAGACCACGTTGTTAATCGATTGCGACAGGTACAAACACGTTTGTCACGAATGTAATGTGTATGGAGAAGCAACTAAAAGGTATCTGGATATGAAAATTATGTACTTTTGATAACTACCACGTGAATGATTGTAATAATAAAAATTATTTAAGAATAAGTCTATGTACAAGCCGAAAAATAATTTAAATATTTTTGTTTAAATGTTAAAGTTAGGTTCATTATCACCAAAAGGATCAAACGGATCCAAATCCTTTTTGGAGTTCTTTTTGTTTTGTGTCATTTGTTTATCATCAATGTTTAATAGGTTTATTTCTGAACTGACGCTTTGAAAACTAGTAGAATCCATTGAATGACGAAAAGGTGACGGTGATGGAGATCGACTTTTTGAGCGACGAAAAGACGGACCTGGTTTAGAGAATAATTCTTCGTTACTTTCTTCGTCTTCGTCCTCACCTAAGAATAATAATAATTTATATTATAAAGTGTTGAATTTTAGAGGATACACAAGTAAAATGGCGGTGGTTTGAGGTTATATTTACCTAAAAACAACTGCATCTCTTGTTTTCCTTTCCATGATTGGTATATTAAATAACTACCGCCGATTAAAATGACCAAAAACCCCAATAGGATGAAAACTCGAAGCGCATTAATCTAAAATTATTATTTTTAGGTTTATTTTAGTAAATATTTGCATTTTATTGATTCTTACATGTGGATCATCTTCATAAACTTCCTCCCAATCTTTTTTAACTACCATTTGTACTGTACGTATGTTAATATCATCATTTCTTACTCCTTTTGACACACAGTTTAAAAATCCTTCCTCTTCAGTAGATATACCCTAAAATTTTACTTTTTTGTTTGTTTTCTTCTTTTTAATTCAGTTATAAACTATACCTTTATGATTAATTTCCCTGTGAGTATTTCATACTCATATTTACTTCTGTTGTACTCATTCCCAGGACCAATAACACTCCTTTTTGCATCCGCGAGTTGCCAAAACATAAAGTTGTGATTCTCGTCGTTGCTAGGACAATGAAGAACTGCATTTTTTCCGATTTGCACTTCTTGTATTATATCCGGATGAAACACAAAAGATAAACATAGTTTAAAATGCAGGAGATATAGTTGTGGTATTGTTGTAAAGAATAATTTGAGAAACATGACTGAGTGCACTTGATTTAACTATTGATGCATTCAAAAAACAAAAGGACGAGCATAGGTTGCGCGTTGACTTTCACACGCGCATCAATGACTATTTTTACAATTTTGCCATTGATTGATATTTATAGATACTTTAAACTTTTTAGTATAACATTTTGTATGGTCAAATAAAGAAGAAATTGATTTATTGAAGATTTTTGAGTGAAGAATGTCAAAACATTCAGAATAAGTAAGAAAATTATTCAAAAACAACAACAACAGTTATTTAACAACTAAAATTCATTCATGGAAGTGAATATAAGTATCTAAACTGCTTTCAAGTTATAAACATTTGTATAAAGGGAGTGTTAGTGTAACATCCCCTTCTCTTTCATTCTTTAAACAAATTTTCAACAATAAAACATCAAAATCATCCGAACTAATAATTCCAAACACATTTAATCAATTAACAAGTATTTATTAATAATTATTACTAGTTTTTACATCCCTAGATACAATAAAACATTAAATTTTAACCAATGTGCTTAACAGAATGCTGCATCTGCAGATGTGTTGTAAGATGACGACCGGCAATCCAATCAGAAGGAAACAGCACATTTCTCATTTTAAACTCGCTTTACATCACGTTCCGGCAGTTGTAAAACGACCGTGGGTGCTATCGCATGTAAACATGTTTAGAATACTCTAAAATCTACAGTATCCTCATTATTTTACATTCATCCAGTGCAATTTCCACACAAATCAACGTAAAAATGCAAGTATAAAACCAATATAACCTTTTTATTGAAGATATTCTCTTAGATTTTAACTTGTTAATAATTGTTGTTCTATTTTAGGAGACTGAACAAGAAAACAATTGCATTTCCTACATTACACGTCGCCCTATTTTTAGTCTGCCTACAAGTTTCATGTTTGCTTGCAAATGGTCAATCAACTGATTTGTATGACTTACTTGGAGTCAGCAAAGATGCTTCACTCAAAGAAATCAGGAAAGCATTCAAAGCTTTAGCTGTATTACAACACCCAGATAAGAATCCGGTAATTTATATTAATCTAACACACAATTTCTATCATTTTATTGATAATATTGTTTATTTTAGGATGATTCAAATGCTACAAGTAATTTTATAAAGTTAACTCGAGCATATGACATCCTAAAAGATACTGAATTAAGAAAACAGTATGATTTATATGGTGATGAAGGAATTAATCCAAGTACAAGTCAAAACTTTAAGAGTTATTCTTATTATAAGAATGAGTTTGGCATTTATGATGATGATCCATTGATTGTCACATTGAGTAAAGCTGATTATGGTAAGTATATTCATCAAAATCTTTAAAAAAATTACTAAATAACTTTAATATAATATAGATGTGAATGTTCTTGATGAGAACCAAGCCTGGTGGATAAATTTCTACTCTCCTGCCTGTCATCACTGCCATGTATTAGCGCCAACATGGCGGAAATTATCTCAGGAATTAGAGGGTGTTGTGAGGATAGCCGCCGTGAATTGTGAAGATGATTATGTTTTATGTCATCAGTTAAGCATTGGTGGCTATCCGAGTTTGTTATACTACGAAAAAGAAGCACATTTATACGATGGCGAGAAATACACCGGCCCGAAACATTTCGAAGAGATGCAAGACTTCATTTTGTCTAAACTACAAGTTAATGTTGAACAAATTGATGCTGAAAATTGGGAGAAACTAAATGATAAAAACTGGTTACTGTTTCTATGTGGACCATTCGGTGGAGAAAGATGTCCTGAACCACAAATACAAATAAAACTAGCTGCTGTTTTTGTAAAAACAAATTATTTAAGGTTTAAAATGCATTTTTAATTCTGTTAATATTCTAGGAAGGTTTAATGTCAGTTGGTATAGTAAGCGATGAAGAACTCTGTGATAAACTATCACCAACACATGCAACGCAACCAGTTGTGTTGTATCAAGTCAACGGTGGCAAGATAACAGTGGATGTCATTGAAGGTTCAGATAAGAAGGAATATGTTGATTCTATCTTGAACTTCCTGCCTACTCCAGCGCATTTGGATGAGAAACAATTCGCTGTAAGTTTTAATAAAATAAAAAAAAAACATTTTTACAACTTTTAATATAACATTTTTATTTTAGGAGATCAGAAACGAATTAAGAGATAAAGATAATCAAATAGAAGAAGAAACAAAACCATGGTTAATATGTTTCTATCTAGGTACAGCAACAGAGTTAAATCTGCAACTAAAACGTTTACCAACGATTATTCCAAACATAAAAATCGGCCTAATTCACTGCGGTAAAAGTGCAGGATTATGTCAAGCCTTGCATGTATCTCGTTATCCCACTTGGGGATTATTAAAACCAGGCGGTGCATTTGAACTACACCACGGACGTGATGTCCTCCACGAAGTGGCTGATTTCGCACGTGACGGTGCGAAAGCCACTAATCTCCATGCTCTCTCCCCTGCTGATTATAAAAGTCTTCATGAAGACCAAACACCTTGGTTTATCGACTGGTACGCCCCCTGGTGTCCACCTTGCAGACGTCTCATGCCACAAATTCGAAAAGCTAGCCAACATTTTCAACCCTCGCAAATTAAATTCGGAACTATTGATTGCACAATGCATCAATCTCTTTGCGCATCTGAAAATATCCGTTCTTATCCAACCACAATGATTTATCAAAAAGGTGATAAACATTTGTATCATGGCGCACTCAATGAGAATGAAATCGTTGAATATATTCAAGAGATGTTGAATCCATCAGTTGTGCATTTGACACAAGAAAATTTCGTACAGTTGATGCGTAAACCTGTCGGTGAGATATGGTTGGTTGATTATTATGCACCGTGGTGTGGGCCGTGTCAAAGATTAATGCCTGTTTGGAGAGCACTTGCTAGAGAGATGAAAGAATTTGTTAATATTACAATTGCGAGTGTTGATTGTGTGAAAGAAGCTGATTTGTGTTCCGCACAGAATATAAACAGTTATCCGATGATTAGACTGTATCCTAGGGATAGTTACGGATTGAATTCTGTTGCGATGTATACAGGACACAGGGATTTGATGAATTTAAAAAGTTGGATATTTGCTTTCCTGCCGACGAAAGTGGTGACTTTGACAAGTGATTTTGTTAAAAAGAGAGTTTTAAAGAAGAGTTTAAGCACGCCATGGTTGGTGGACTTCTATGCGCCATGGTGTGGACATTGTGTTGATTTTGAGCCGAAATTTCGAACAATTGCAGAGGTAAATTATGAAACAATTGTTTTAAAACTCATTTTAATTGTTTGATTACTTTTAAGGAACTAGATGGCATTGCACGTGCTGGTAAATTGGATTGTCAAGCAGAACGTAATTTCTGTATTGATATGAGGGTAACAAGTTATCCCACGTTGAGATTGTATTTTTCTAAAGATAAGTATTATCCTATTGATACAATTAGTCCGGAGTTTGTTGTTCAGGAAACTAAAAGGATTATTGAAGCCAATGGACGTAGTAATCATGACGAATTGTAAAAATTAATTTTTAATTCAGAAAGTAATTGATTTCATGAACCATTTTTATTATTTTATGCAAAATACGTAGTTTATACAATACTAAACCAAAGGTCGCGATGATACAAAGGTAAAAACGAGTGAATCTCAAAAGAAAGCTTGTAATTCCTATTATTACTAAGAAAACTCTTTTTAATGTTGTGAATTGACGATATTTTTATAGGAATACGTTTAATGCCGACGAAGAATTTATTTTATTGCTTATATAAACTATTTTCAACACAATATTTGTATTTCATATCAATTTTTATTAATTATGTGATTGAAAGCTGGAATAATTGACAGGTGGCCCTCCCTGTCGCCACGCACGAAGTTACAAGGGTTGCCTACAAACTATTAAATACTAATTCTGCTATAGTAATATTTTTGAGGTTATAGTTTTCATTTCATATTTTATTGATGGTAACGTATCCTTTTAATAACATTTTAAAGCTTCTTACATTAATTTAGAAATAATTTTATAATTTACAATACACAACAAAACATATAATAATATATCACAAATTTAAATTTTGTCCACAAACGCACAAAACGCATGCGTGAAAAATAACAATCGTAACAACACTGCTGCCATTTTGAATATTTCTATTCAAGAACTAGCATTCTTAACGATTGAATTGCCAATTTGTCTTCAAAACTTACTCTTACAGAGCACATTATTTATCTTATACTCATCATATGTTCAATTTCACCTAATTTATGTTTTTAACGAAATACGCCTCTGATTCAGATTGAATTTGAAGAAATTGAAGAAACGCCCAACGAGATTTGACAGCTCAAAGTTTTGCAACTTTCCATTAATTATCTGAAACGATAATTATCGCCATTAAACCTAAATGTTCACTGAAGTTTTAGCTGTAATTAGTCGTTACACTTACGTCTTTGACGATTTTCGAAACAGCCGGTTCCATTTCGTCCCACACGGTATCAATGCCCTCGGGTGTGAGTTGCGTTATCGCTTTGTTTATCACCGCGCCGAGTTTCGTATCATTCATAAGATTCTCAAAGTTATTCTACAAAAAACACAACAAACAAAGTCAAACATTTATCAAGATACAAACGTGTATAACAGCATCGCAATACCTCAATTCTCTTCAGTTTGACGGAGATTTTCAAGTCGTCGACATAAATACCCGGCAGTTTTCTGATGTTGTTGCGCAACTGTGATACCGTGCCTAGAGACAGCTCATATAAACGCAGCCTGCAATATCAAACGAGAAATTATTAACATTTGCACCTTTTGCATCTAGTTATGTAATAACACGTGCCGTTAAGTGTTTTATAAAGATGCTGTACATACCAAAATGGCCCCTTGCCGAAAATGGTGAACATGTCACCGAAAGTGCCCTTGATGTCGTACTTTCCGGTGATGTACAACAGCGGAAACGTGATGTTGAGGAAGAGACGGTTGTTCAGGTCATACTCGACATAATCCAACCGGAAGCGGGATAAATGGCGGATTTCAACGTTTTCCAGGTAACCATTTAGACTGAATACATAGAAAAATAGTTATGAATAACCTGCAAATATATTATTACTTATTGTGTTGATGAAAATGATGTAAACGTACGGGTAATGATTTTATAATGTTGTAGGTTATGTTTTTTGGAAGAAATTTGAGGTTAAAATCTTAAATGATTACATAAATAGCAAATTAGAGAAAAAAAATAGAAGAAAATTACCTGTTTGTGTATAATATTGCTAATACAAGTATTATTACTGCAATATTGACTTGACAATAATAAAAAAACAATGTTTAATTGTCGCGGTGCGTATCAAAACGTTTAGTAACGCATGAGGTGTTTGAAAGAAAGCAAAAGTGAAGAAAGTGACTTTCACTAATCAGTTATCATGAAGTTAGGCTTCACTCAGCTTGATTGTCAATTAAATTAGTACATAAACACACAAAACACAAACAATTACCGTTAATTTGATTTGTATATAAGTAATCTATAAGGATTAGTCAGAATGTTTGCATGTTTTGTGTTAATTGGGTTGCATACACATAAAACTATAACTAATACAACCCAAGATCATAAATTAAAAGTAAAACATTTCCTGTTTAATATTAAATTCTAGTATAGTCAACTCGACAATGCGACAAGCAACAATAAATATAATCATAATTTACGCTCGTCCTGCAGTTTGCACTAATGATACAATCATTAAACATGCACTCTGACACACTCGCATCGTTTCCACGTCATTAAAATTCGCGCAAACACGAACATGAACAAAGAACAAAATATAAAAAAAAAATAAAGCCAACATAAAAGTGTTACTGTAAGTAGAAAATAATTGAGATTTACTGGATTTTATTTATTTTGAACTGCGAAATGGCGAACCCGGAAACAATTTCGACTGCAAAATTTATCTAAACATGAAAAATATCTCTAATTGACGTCATAGCATAATACCACAATAGAGAATGAAAATTATAACCTGTTGAATGTCCTACTCTTGCCCTTGTCAATCACTTCAACATGAAATTACACAATAAATATTTTGTTGGGTCATACAGGATGTTTATTTGTAACTTACGCGATTGTATCATGTGCGAAATCAATGTCTAATCGCTCGATTGTTAATGGATCTAAAATTGGTAGGCCTAGTTCAGGTATTCCGATGCCCATGCGTCGCCGGAATTCTTCTAAGAGTCGTCGCACTCGTTCGGTTACAGATGTCGCACTTGATATGACATTCGTCACTGTTTGGCTTATTAGGTTATAACTTCCACGCACAACACCTGCGAATGCGAAAAGAAATAAATATTTTAGATTAATTGATATTCTATTAAAGAAGTGAGTTTAAAGCGTGTTATAAATGTTTGTCTGCGGTTTGCGTTGTGCGAGTTTGCGTGTTGTGTGGTTTCTTTGTTTGTTTGTTTGCTGTTTGTGTTGCATACAAATAGGAATCATAAAATTCTGAAGAATTTTAAACAGTAAAACAAAGACACAAAGAAAGAAAACCACTTGTGGTAAATCATAATCATAAATATTATTCAAGGATGATTGAAGTATCCTTGATTTTATCTTATATCAATTTTATTGATTATATTTGGTTTTTATATAATTTAAAATACAACGGTTGTCATTTTGAGACTGTATGCAACCAAAAATACTTGTTGCTTTGAACCTGTCGTTGTCATAGCAACGAGAATAACAAGATGACTAGAAGAAAAGTAAAAAAGTTGGTTTGACAATATCTGAGTTGTGAAGTGAGTTTATTAGGTGTAAATGCATTCATGTGAGTAAATAACTAAGTAAATCATTAATAATTCGCACATTAAAATTTAGTTAAAGTATTTAAAAGTTTGATTATTTTCTCTATCAATTTGTTTTCAATATTAATTTGTTAGTTATAAACAAATTCACACGCGATTAATATATTTTAGATATTTAATGCTTACGAAAGTTGTTTTTAGCTTGGATATTATCCAAAAATTGCAATCATAGCTAATATAATTAGAAATGTTAGGTTATATGCCGAGACATTTGCTAACCCGTCACCAAGGTTCCATGGTGTAATGGTTAGCACTCAGGACTCTGAATCCTGCGATCCGAGTTCAAGTCTCGGTGGAACCTAACATTTTTACTTTTTCTTACTCTCTAAATAATTTTTTAATTATAATTTTATTTAACCAATATTTATTTTTTCCAATTGAATTCAATTTACTTGTAAATCGATAAGTATACTTTGTTAAACAAATAGAAAAAAGTCAGGCATGAGTAATTTTACCTAATTTGCATTCAATAGTTAAACATTTAACATGAGAATGTGGTTAAAGTTAAATTTATGCAAATTGCAATTACGTTCTCAAAATCCCAACCACCTCGCGGGTATTACCACAGTGCGAATACAACAAAGCAACAATTGAATGCATTTGCAATGTATCTGCGCTTGCTAAACAATTATTACACATTTGCATAATAGACTAATAAAAATTGAGATGTTAAACGATGACTTTTAAGTGATTTTAGTATTTTAAAGCGTTTTATGACAATTTATGACAAGTTTACATGAACTTGAAGTAGTTAAAAATTACAAATGTTGATTTAGAGAAGAATTATTAATGTTTTTGGTCATAAAGAAGTTGTTTAATGTTTAAAAATGTTTAAAACAGTCTCAAACGTTTTGAAAATAAATTACCAACATGAGACAACGTCAAACATATTGAGAGAGTTTAAAACTACGCAGAAAATGACCTTCAGGTGAACTTCACGTCATGAATACTAAAATGAGTCAGGTTTAAGTTTGGTTAAATAAATATTACACTCACAGGTAGAATTTTAAAGTTGTTATTTGCCATTTTACGTTTTTATTGCTAATTTTGTTATTTTTATGTCAAGTAATTTGGGTTGCCTATATTATTTTGACCTATAAGATTGTAATTATATTTTTAACCACAATTATAAATTCAAAAGTCGTAAATTCAGTGAGAAACAATAATAGAAGTTAAATGTAGTTAATTTTACGTTTTTATTACATTTTGCTCTTGTTAAACGAATCGTTTTGGGTTGCCTATATTATTTTTGACATCTATGTTATCCAAGTGACATTGGTTAACCTCAATTAGAAATTGTAGGGTCGTAAATTTAGAGAAAAACAATACTTGAGGCTGATTTAGTGGATTTTACGTTATTATTTCTTGTTTTATTCACATTGAATGAAATACTTTGGGTTGCCTACATTACAATGGTTATATAGTGCATAATATGTTAGTTAACCTCAATTGTAAAAAGAAAAATCGTAAATTCAATGAGAAATAATAATAGACGCTGATTTAGTTGATTGGTTTGTGTAGTTTTGGGATTTTTACGATTTTTTGCTCAATATCAAAACTGATTGCGTCTCGCACCCAAATTCGAACACCTAATAAAAATCGAATTTCATTGAGACCTGAGAATTCTATCGAGTGAAGAAATCCAAAAGTAGAAAGTATTATGCGTATTAGCGTATTATACTTAAAAGCGAACGCAATCCGAATGCCGAATACATAAAACCACAATCCAAAGAGTTCAATAAACATAACAAACTAATATTATATTAATCAAAAATAAATACACAAATATTAAATAATAATATAATAATTTTGCATCATCCTGTAGAAATAGAAATAGAAATATATTTAAGTTCAAGTATATTGCAAACATTTTTTGATTTGTTGAATGTATACAGAATTAAAATGAATAAATTCATGTTGGTAATATTTCAAAATGTTTGATGCATTGCAATTGCTGTAGTTGGACTCGACATGAAGTAAAATTAATTACACTCGTAAGGTTTAATTCGCACGTGCCGACACTCTAGACAACATGTTATATATTATATAAATCATTGTAATTTGTTTAAGCAATTTAGTAACCTACCAAAAATAAAATAGGTTTATGAATTAAATTAAAATTGAATTATCATGGTGATGATTAATCTGTGCTAGGTCCAATTTGCAATGAATCATCATAAATAATAATTATATGAGTAAATACTTGTTTTGAACACACTTATTTCTATGAAAATTGATTATTTTTGATTTTTTAAATTTTATTTACTTGAAATTACAGCAGTTGTAATTTTGAGATTGTATGCAACCAATCGTACTTGTTACTTTGGAGGAGTCGTTGTCATAGCAACCAGAATAACAAGATGACTAGAAGAAAAGTTGCGAAGTTGGTGATCGGTAAAGTGAGTTTATTAGTTGAAAAATTATCCATGTAAGTAAAAAACTATTCATTTCATATCATAATCTTTTGATAAACCAGTTTAAGACTGTGATATTTTGTCTATGGGCAGTTTTGCTATAGTGTTAGTGATGTGATCTGACCATGCGGTGACATAACCTCACTTTTTTCAAGTTTTAAACGCAACACAAGTAATACACAAGCAAATAAAACTAAAAACACACACAATCCAATTATAACTAAGCTATTACTCGCTAATTATCGGGAAATACTTGAACAAACTTATTATTATCATCTGTTTTAAATAATACTTGTAAAATTAGAATAACTCACAAAGTGGAAACTTGCACAAATAAAATAATTATTGGTAAAAGAGGAGTTAACAATGTAATAATAGCAGTGCCAATCAATTGGCTACTGGTAAGTACATACATACACCTCATACACGTCTAATCTTGTATTACTATAAATAATGAACTTGACCGTGAAATTTCCAGCTTTTTTTCTCGACAATTTGTTGTGTACATCGCAAATATTTACCAGCTAACCACACACGCTGTATATAGAGTGTTAAAAATTAATAATTTATTAAATTTAGGATAAAAACACTAAATTTATTAAATATAAGTAGTTTTAGTCCTTACTATTCTTACCAAAAGTAGTATCAGCTATACCGTTTGCTAGACGTTCGATTGGTTGCATAATCCCGTTAAAAAGTCCGGCGAGGATCTGCGCATCCGATGAGGTGTGATCCTGCGACACTAAACAGGAGCCGGCAAGCAATACCAAACACATATTCACACAAACACCCATTGTTATTAATATTATTATTGCTTTTACTTAAGTCACAATTAATTTAATTATTAATTCATTTAACTTAAATTTAGGGAAAATATTTGATTTGATTTTTTTAAGTCATGTGTTTTACAATTGTTTTGCAAGAACAATAATTTTTATTTCGTTTGATAGTTGACTGATTGCACACGAAGGAGGAACGTGTAGAAAATTTATAAATTGCGCGCGAGTGACGACCGCGAGTGCCGTCGTCGGTCACTGGTGGCATGAAACTAAGCGCCGGGCTTCACTTTCACACTCTTTTACTCGAGCACGCTGAGTATATCACACAACAGTAGTCATTCAACCAGTAGGAGAGGATATAAGTTACAAATATATCGCGAAAATGCATGAAATGTTCATTGACCAGTTTAAATATTAATTTTTTCGTCTAGACTTGAGAGATTTAAGAAAAAAATAGAAGTACTATTTTGTATGGTTCAAAATGGCTAAAATTTAATTTTAAAACATTTTTTCGTAGCAAATTTAGATAAAATTTGTATTAACTTGACGAGAAAGTCTAACAAAGTCGTATTTCTTAGTTATGCATTCAAGAAATACAATAAATAACCTTTAAAATATAATTTTGGTTTCAACTCATCATAAGTGCCTCAAAAATGTACAAATTATTCATTAACAAGTTAAAATGTCACTATTTTTGACTAGGATTAAGAAATTTGATAGAATAAAACAACAATAGTATTTTATAAGCCTAAAAGAGCTAAAATTTAATTAAAATGTTTAGGCGGAAATATAAATACAATTTGTATTAATTTCACAGAAAAGTCCCAAAAAGTTTAGTTTCTTGCCTAGGCATTGTAGGAATGCAATAAATACACTCCTAAAATATTGAATTTTGGTCACAATTCAACTTTGACTTTATAGCAATCGGCGCAATCGGCTTTAATTCCACATCACGTTGTATTTGCCTCTGCGTTTCGTTGACTCGCAGTTGAAGTCGAAGCCAAAGCGTTTCGCAAAAGACGATTGTTATATAATCTGCTTGTGTGTTGTGTGTGCGTTGGGCATCTTTGTTGTCGTATTGCGTATTCCGCGTTCAAGAAGCAGACAAAATCAAAAGAACTCGAAGAAATATGCAATCTGCATGCAATCCGCAAGAAGTTTGCATTTGAAAAACAGAAACTACGAATGGAAATGAATATATCAATAATATAAATCTTTTCAAGGACTGTCACACTAGAATTTACACTTTCCAGGCGGGAAAATGTCACTTATCATTAATAATGCATTAATTAGTTGTAATTTACTTCAGACACATTCAATGAAAGTAATAATTTACTTATGCAATGATATAATCCTTCGTTTATCTTTTGTTGTGCGTATTTTTTTGTTTTTGTTTTTGCGCGTGATCCTATTGCATTTTAAGTAGAGAATGTATCCGCAAACATTTGACCTCTTTGCAACATGTTACACGACATGCAAAACCCAAAGTCGATAATCTATTAGGCACGTTTAGCAATGCTAACGACTAGACATTAGGTAAATATTAAATTAGTGCAACATGTGTGAAGAGATTTTGAAAATATTCAGGTTATGCTGTGGTAACATAGGCAACCAACAATACAACAAACAAAAATAAGTAAAAGTGTCTCAAAAATGATAAAATAGGAAAATAATATATAGTAATTATTAAACATTGTACACAACTTCCAAATTTAAAAACGATAATATATTTGACATGTTAGTAATGTTAACAAGGAGCCCACGACCGAGACCATTAATTTCACATGACGTTCGGTCTCCTGTGTATCAATACTTCGTGAAGGAGCCATTAAATAATAAATTAATACAACATGTGAAAACAATTTTCACTTTTATTTCACGCTATAGGCAACCAACAATACACCAAACAACTCTAGAAGTAAAATCACTTGAAAATTACAAAATAAAGACAATAATTTATACGATTATATAAATTAACTTCAATATAAGTTTATTATCAACATTTTTATAACAATATCGTTGTTAAATAGTCGTATCATTATGATTATCAAGTAATTTAGCTTTGCTCTCCTTTTGTTCAGTTAATGCTCTTGATTCATGCACAAAAACAACAAAATTAATCCCCTGAAACATCAAACACCAAAAATTATCCTCCACTTATAATTATAAACAAATATAAATAAATTACCTGTTGTTTAGCAGCTCTTACAAACCCATCATTGCTACTAACAGTAACCGCATGAATACGATCTCCAAACGTGAAAATCGTCAAAGATCTTTCTTTAATCTTACCACCAATCGGTAAAATCTTCTCACCAGAATATTGCACACTATTGAAAGCATAATCAACATTATTCGTCACAATATCTTCATAACTAGCATCATCTTTAAGCACTATAATCCTTTTAAGTAATTCTTCACCTCGCAGCCTCTCTTTTTCACCTCCAACAATATACAAAATACTTAAAAAACTTTCCTTTGCTGTTTCACAACAATACAAAGTTTTATCCTTGAAGAAATTATCCAAAAGAGGTTTAACAGGACGCGTTACTTCCCATTCAGCCTGCTGAGCCAACACAGGCACGTCGAATTTATACTTTAAACAACTTCCATTTGTTACCGAACTCACATACGCCAACATCGTCGAAACATCCACATTCACCCGTGGAATATGCGCTGTATTCTCTGTAGATAACTCTTTTGTTAATTCCGGTAACTCGAATTCAAATTCCAGAGTATTGTCGATGTTTAAACGTTCGCCTTCGACTTTGATGTTGAGCGATTCCAATTTGAGAGCTAGATTTGTGCCGATGCCATTCGCAAAGACAAAAATCAACTGAATATGATTATTTTAATAGATATTCTTAAAATGTAGAGATTATTACCTTAGGTGTTTGAAACATGCATGGATATTGTTGGGCACATTCAATGTACTCCTCGGCTTGATCAAAAATACTCCTCACTCCATAATTTGTATTTCCCAGGCAGATTTGACTCAGGGATTTCGGATTTCTCGCGATTACTTTTGTCCATGTCAACCCACCATCGCTAATTATATCTATGATTATTTTCCGGTCGTCTAGCATGAATGGTTTGTTAACATGTGTGCAATTTTCAACTTGGCTTAATACTTCGACTAAAGCACTGAAATGTGTTAGATTTGAGCATTGTAGATGCTCTTTTTTGATGGTATTACTTTTACATATCTATAAATAATGATATTTTATTATTATTTTATTTTTAAGGTTTTAATGTATAAATTAGTAATACCTTTTTTAGAAAATTGATTTCTTGTCTAATCTTTCGCTCCAGTTTTTGTATACCATCTAGTTTTTGATATTTCACGAGTGATTGCAGTAGATCTTCACCGTAGGTGATTTTTTCTAGTGCAGTATTGCGTAGGGCAGTTGATTCGATTTCTTCCTGCATTGTGTGGAAGTGTTTTTGGAGATAATTTTGAAATGTGATGAAATGTTTATTTCAATTTCATATGGTGAGTTGGTTGTTGGAATAATCGGAGGTTAAAGTTGAATTGCTGTAGTTTTGGTTGCCTATATTTAAGGGGAGAGTTTTTATACAGTTCAGGTTTAGTAAGATAGAAATTTTACAGGACCGTATTTTACTTAAATATAACCAAATTTAAAGGCATATTTATAATAGAAATTTGCATTTATTTATTTTTGGCACTTAAACTCAAACTTATAACTTTCATATTATGAATTATTGCGTTGATTACTTGTAACACAAAGTAATAACTTTTATTAGTTGCCCTAGGGCTACAAAATCATTTTTTAGACACAAATGAGTAAAAATTATATCAAATTTTTATTCTGGTTTCTAAATATTCCATTCATCCAATAAAACATTTCTATTATCATGCAAATAAAATCAAACAAAGATAATAATGATAAATGACCCTAGAATTATTTTCATGCCGCCGGAAATTAACCACCAAAACTTCAAGAACCCTTCCTAATCCCTTTCCTCGCTAGAAAACAATATCATAGTCAAGGAGCGGCTCACCACTACCCAAAACTTTGATTAACCCAGCGCACCCCTCTTTATCACACCTCCTACATACCTAACACAATATACACCACGTTGATGAAAAATCGCAACTGACCAATTCCGCGCTCAGCGCCGCCGCCGTGCGAATTGTTCCAATTCACGGCGGGCGGCCAGGCAGCCGGCCAGCAGTCGGGCGCGAGCGGCACAACCACACGCGTCGTGTTAACGATCCGCCGTCGCTGCCGCCGCCGCCGCCGTCGTCAAGTGCACGCACACCTGTGCCTCCTCAACACGCGCGCTTTCACCCACCGATAGATACAAACAAATAACGTGCATCGACAAGATGGCGGCGTCCGGCAGCGCTCGAGCGGTCAGATGATAGCTGCCCTTCGCACCACACACTAGACCCCGAAAACATACAAAGCGCGTAATAGAATCATCATGCATAATCAATAGCATATCAAAAAACGAAAAGATTTACTTATGGATGTGACAGATAATTATTTAAGCGTTGACACGCTGACACGTTGAAACAATCCCTTTGAAGATTATCAAATCAACATTATCATCATGGTTGACAGTGGGTACAATGTCAAAATGTCGTGACACGGTCAGCAAAAAACACTAAAAAGGTAAATCATTTGTTTCACATTCACAAAACATAAAAAATCAACACAATTCGTCAACTAAGTGAAATATTCGATTTATTTTATTACCCTAGTAATAAAAGTTAGGTTATAATCATGATAATAATCAACCTAAATTACTATTGGCCTAATATTTGACACTTACCATTAACACACTTAATTACTGGTAGTGTGAGTCACATATAAATGCGTAATTCGGCCAGTGGTCACCTTTTACCTTTACTTTTACACCACTGTTATCGATTTACAGTAAAAAACACTATTTTACTAATTAAATTAAAGTTTTTACAGATTTTTTTAGTAGTTTCTAAGTTTAGTTCGATATTTTTAACGAGGGCGCCACTAGTCTTTGACATCACGTGCTTGAACTCCAATGTACTTGAACCTTGAAAACATGAACTTAATTATATACATTTTAACTTGTTATACTAATAACACATTTGGTAAATGGTACACGTACACGTTGCATGAGAGCAGACAGCGTGTCGCATTAGCAAATTGTTAGATTTTATCGGTTTTATGAAGTGTTTTGCATGATTTTCCGCTAAATTACCACTAAGTTTAACATAACATATTCAACGCCACCTAGTGGTGATATTTGCAAATAAATTATGTGTTAGGTTACATTGACAGATGTCAAGAAGCTTTTAGTCTTTAAAAGTTTCAACGTTTCAATATGCGCTGTATCTATATCTATAATTGTATTATTGAATATTCACTCACGTCTGGCGACGTGTGGGAATAATAAAATTTGTTACATCTGAACACGAGTCGGGCGGAGTAGCGTCTGACACAATACGCGCGTACAAGTGCGCCCGCGAGACAATTTTATTTTTCGTGAACGCTCGGGACACACAATTTCCCATATCTATCCGCACGTATACCACGTGCGCCAATGCGCGTGTGCGTGTATTTCGTGTGTAGCGGCCGAATGTTTTGCGTCACAACGCGCGGCGCGTCTCTCACAAAACCTAAGGTGGACGGTCGGGTCGTTCGGACAGCGTCGCGAGTCGCGATTCGAATTACAATCTATTCGCCATCGACGCGCACACAGTGCAAACACAAGCAGGTTGTTGCAGTTCGCGTGTCATTTGATTCAAGCGCAGGCAACCCATTATACATAAGATTTGTTTGCGCTTGTTTGCGGTGAATTTCATTTGATTTCATTCCGTTGCTGAGTGAAAAGTGTTCCGAAAGTGTGTTTGTGGAGTTTTCGTATGCGTGCGTGTTGAAAATGAACGTAAGTGAGTTATTAAACGACGTTTTGTTACGACGGAAAGTATCTCCATAAATTTACATGTTTTCGTAACTGTACGTCTTTACAGCGCTGGAATTTAATGGAAGTTTATTCGAAACTCGCAACAAAAGCACTCGCGAAAGCTTCTCTTTATGTGTTTAATACTACTTTGTCGTTTGCTAATATGTTTACGGGTTTGAATCGTTTTGAATCTTGGAAGCTGTTAAGGTTTTCTTACACAATAGCGCAAACAATTATAAAATCCGCAATGTTAAGTGAAGTTTTCATTTCTGGCAAAACACCGGCGAATATATAAATATAAAAGCGGTTGAATCGGTTGAAATAATGGGAAAATCTACGGTGTGGTATTGCCTCACATTGCTACGGCGCCGAGTGCGTGCGTATTTCGTATTTCGGCGTTTTGGCATTTTTTACGCGCGTTTCTGAGAGTGTCTGCTGCTAAGCGTTGCGCAGGACTCGGCGCAGTCCTGTGAAGGTGGGCCGCGCGGCTGTCGCTCATGCGTGCTTTTATTTATATCCGCAAATTATTTTCGAGTGCGAAGCGAATTATTTTCAATTTGTTGGATTTGCACGCGCGCAGAAAAATGCGAAGATTTTAATAAAACGTTACGTCAACGAGTTTGTTATAAATTGGACGTTTATTGCAGATATTATGCTTTGCTGCTGTTACTTTATTGAAAACTTCACGAAATCATCGTGTTTTATACGTTATTATATTGTTTTTTTGGCTCGGATATTTTATTATTACTGTTGCTGTGAAACTTTTATTATCCGAAAACTTTTTACAACTTTCTCAGTAAATAACTTTAGTGTAAAAGTAAAATTTTTACTTTAAAAACTTCAAAAATGTTTTATTTTATTTTACGCAATAAATTATTACAATAGTTTAATTGTCAGGTCATTATCCGATTTATTTGATTCACTGAATAATAAAACTTACTTCACACCACATTAGTCTGCCTCCCTTGGACTATTAATAAATGAAGAATAAAGTATTTATGTATTATTCATTAGTTTCCGTCGTGTTGGGGTGTATATGCCGCCACACGGCACTAAGTAGCAACGCAAATAAAGTTTTTATTGCGGCTAAGAATGTAAGAACTATATATCTAAAGCAATTGCAGCGCCTACTCTATAAAGTGAAATAAAATAACGGGGTGCACACGCAACCTATTAGCTAATACATGCATAAATACGCGAGCAGGCAGCACGACATCGAATGTGACATTTATGTTTGCAACATGAATAATTAACGAGACTTTCAGAACACTAATGCAGCTGGAATTGAGCTTAGAAGTAGTGTGGAATAAATAAAATACAAAAACAGTTGACTTTGGTCTATGAAAAACATTGCATTGGATAGTTGTTAGTTTTTTTATAAATAACTCAAAAATTATTTTAGTTATAAGAATTATTCTTATGTATGAAAATTTACTGTTAAATTATCGATTGGATTACGTTTGGTTGATGTTGCTAGGACTATTGGATAAAAAGTTATAAACAATTATAGTTTAATTTTTAAAAACCAATGTAATATTTGTTAAAGTTTTTCATAAATAACTCAAGAACTATTTGAATTTTATTTTATTTTTATTTTATCTTTTCCATTTAATAGTTACTGTTAAATTATCTATTGAATTGCGTTTGATTTTTATTGCTAGCACTATTGCTTGAAAGGTTATAAACAAGTAAAATTTAATTTTTCAAAACAAAAGTCGTATTTGTTATAGTTTTACATAAATAATTTAAAAACTAATTGAATTTTAACAAATATTCTTTTATATAAATATTTATTGTTAAATTATTGTTTGAATTGTATTATTGCATACAAAGTTATAAACAATTTTTTAAGAGAAAAAAATATCGGTATTGTGTGGGAAATAAATAGTTTACTTCACGCTCACTGCTATAATCGGTATTCGATACAATGAAACATGCAACCATAACACAAATAATAGTAAAATACAAAAGATAACAGAACGAAATAATACAAATAATTGATGTGAATTGATTTAGCCCTGACATTTGCCTACTTTTTTATAATAATAATTCTATGATAAAATCACACGCATATTTTTCTTGAAATAAAAATAAATTTAGGGTAGATGCTTAAGGGAGCGGAAATTTTAGTACGATAAAGGTGTTGCGAAGTGTTGTACCACCGTGGAGCAAAAATACGAAAATATTGGGATTTTACGTAAAATGGCATCTGTTTAATCTTTTATTGCGCTGGTTATAAACTGAGTTACGCTAACAAAACATTATATTGCAATAAACAACTATTTTGTAGTACCTATATTGTTGTTAAAATTCCTATCTATATATCAAATTACAATACTTTTTGCAATGAAATAATGAAAATATGTAGAAATAAGTATTTTTTTCCTAATTAATTAAATTCTTGTTTGTTGAGTTATAGCTAGTAATTTATTACAATTAAACTTGTATTACACCTGGGAGACAGTTCGCATGATTTGCACAGGTAAATTTGAATGCTTTCATAGTTATCCAACAGAGGTCGGTAAAAGAAGTTCTATCGGTATAAAATTGAGCTACCTGGTTAAAAGGTGAGGGGAGACCAAGTGCAGGTATCGCTTCTCGGCTCCGGCTAAGATCAAAGTGTAGTATCTGTTCTTATCAGCTTAATATCTGATACGACCCGCATGCGGGTCCAGTATATTAAACTGATTTTTGGACATGGATGAGAGTTAGGGGCTTGCTCCACTCACATCACGGGTTGGCCCGGTATTGCAGTACCTCCGGGATCGGCCCACATTTTAATCTATATATATAAAATTTGCGTGTCACAGTGTTTGTTTCCATACTACTCCGAAACGGCTTTACCGATTTTTACCAAATTTTATATGCGAATTCAGTAGGTCTGAGAATCGGCTAACATCTATTTTTCATACCCCTAAGTGATAAGGGTTGTTCACCCTTAACTTTTTTTTAAATTTTTGGACAAATTCTTTTGTTTTTATTTTTTTATAATGTGGAATTAAAAAATACATACAACCCTAAATTTTTAGTTTTTTATCACCAACCCCTATTTCTTTATAGCCATTTTAGTAATTTAATCATTTTTCATCCCGCTCAAAGAAAATTTTTATATGCGTATTCAGTAGGTCTGAGAATCGGTAACTTCATATCTCTAAGTGATAAGGGTTGTTCACCCTTATTTTTTTTTTAATTTTGGTCGAAATTTTTTGTTTTTATTTTTTTAATGTGGCATTAAAATATACATACAACCCTAAATTTTTGGTTTCTTATCACCAACCCCTATTTTTTATAATAAGTAAGTTACTTTTTGTCTACACTAAAATTTATCTAGAAACTTGAAATAATTTATATGGCAAAACAACGTTTGCCCAGTTAACTAGTTACATATAAAAATAATAATACTAGTTTTATTGTAAATTTATTAGTAAAAAATTGGTTTGGGGTTTTTATGCGGTTTAACACCTTTGGGTATAAACTCAATTTTTGTTCCATTGGTTTCATACAATAGTTAAAAATGTCGAAAAATGCCCAAATAAATTTTAAAAAAATGCAAAATACGTTAAAATACGTTAAAATACGTTAAATTTCTTTAAAACAATCGTGTGTAGTAAACAATTTCATTATTTATGCCACCCTCATTATCAGAATCAATATTCGATTCAATGACAAATACAAACACACTGTATTTTCTATGCAATAAAAACAAATATTTACGAATTATATTTTTTAGGTGACAGAAATCCAGACGCAACTGGTTGAAAACGAATGATCCTATAACCGACAACCCTCATCATTCAACTTCATAAATCCCAAGGACAACCAAAACCAGCGTCAAGATGAATTTGATGTTCAAGAAAAACTTCGCCGAGCAGAAGTCGCCGCGTGGAAAAACGCTCGGCGGCAAGCGCACCACCAGCGGCCACAACAATAAACGCTCGAACCGCGACAGCGGTTACACCCCCATCGAAGAACATCACTACCGCACGCATCTTTTCTTTAGTCCGCCGCGGTGCAGCTATAGTTCAGAAAATGTCGAAGGTACTTATCCCATTCTTTTTAAAATTTTAAAACTTAAACTTTAAAATTTATTTATTTTTTTACTCTTCGATCTTTCTTATCGATACAGCTCGTTTCAGTAAGTGATAAATGTGCAAAAATGTCTCACGCGTTAATTAATTGTCTCGCACTTGAAACATTGAAGTAATCTTGACATTAATTTAGTCAATTTCGTGTCGTAACGATTTCTGTAACTGTAAACCTCGCCGTTGATTTAATTTCTTGCCGTTTGCAAACATTAATTATTCGTAGATCTTTGTCGTGTTTGTCCTTGTCATGTTCAACGCCTTTAATTTGTTTTAATCGATACGAATCGAGTGAATCCGTTTGTCTGTGTCAAAAAGGATCGATGACGAAGGGTAGCGGGTTGAAAGTCGGACGGAAATCGAAAACAGTCGGGTGTTTTGTCAATGTTTACGTAAAAGCTCCGTTCAAGCAGCAGCGGAACTTGACGGCATGACCATGAATACGAAAATTGCCGCCGCTCGTGAAAATTTGATGAGCGATGTCCTTCAAAACTTAATATACACTCTGTCCAAAGAGTTTTCTTACTCAAAATAACTTACTTGATTTATTTCGTTGTATCTGCACTGTGGTAACACTCAGTGTATAAAATGTTGACGCCAAAGCATACGCAACACACGTCCCCCGAATCGATGAGTTTTCAGCGCCCGTGATGATTTATTCAGCGCATTTATCGGCATTGCTCTCGATCGCTCGTCTCGCCGAGGCGGCTAATTGCGGCGCACTTTGCGTAAAAATAGTTCGCTCGTCAGATGTGCGCGCGCGGCACGCGTGTTTCGAATGCAAATCGCCGTGGTAATCGGTGACGACAGTCGCGCGGACGTGTATCTTAGGCAGGCCGGTGGTAAACAACGTGGTCGGCGGCGGCGTCGCATCGCATTATGCGGCAAAAGTCGCCCAGCGGCCGATGCCGAAGAGTTCGGCGGTTTCTACGGCAACAAAGTTCGCACGAACGCTAAACGGTGGTGCATAGCGGCAAAACTGCCGAAATACGCAGTCACACCGCGGTAATCATCTTCAGTTCGCCGGCTGAATCGGACCCATAAACATACTCAACACAAAAAGTGTCAAAATTCGCTTAAAAACGCGTTTAATCATAAAAATTAGTGTAAAATGTAAAAATCATCATGTTATTCGACATGGGCGTGTATTTAAAGAAATATTTCGGATTCTTCAATGAATACGTACCAGTCAGAGGTAAACAAGTTAGATCTTTCTTTTTTGTTGTGTATGTTGGGTTGCATAACTTGTCGGGTTAGCAAATGCTGTTAAAATGAAGTTTTTGATGTTTTTTTCATGAGAATTTAATAAAACGTCACATTTTATTGCATTTTACGCAAGCAGACAGCTGAAATAGTCGCGGAACACATGTTTCCACGTGTCCTTTACTTTAAAAACACACGCAGGAAGCATTTAAGCTCTGATTTCTAAATATCGTATCGGCAGTTCCACAAATTGGCAACGAATTTTATTTGCGCCGACATTGCCGCTGTTGACTGATCTCGTCGTTAGATAAAACGAGAATCAAATATTTTTAGATATTTTATTTTATTATACAAAGTGTTCACTGATTTTCCTCCGCCAAAAACTTAACTTTTTACATTGAATAATTTAAAAGTTTGTTTTATTAGTGCTGCCCTGTAATGCGGCAATTTTGCGGTGCGAAAAAAACGATGTATCAAGGTAGTAGATGTGTGTATGTGAGCCGGAGAGCACACCGTGCCCGAATGCGATGTCTCCGCGTCGCGACGGCGGCGTCGTCGTCGTCGGGAGGACGTCGCCGTGCGAACGTGCGTGCACCGCGTCGCGGCGCGCTGCACTCGGGCCCCGACCGGCGTTTATTCTTTCTATACATAGATGCCAAACAGCAGCGGCCATCCGAAACAATCTTATCTATCCGGCGGTGCGGGTAATACCACCGAAAGAATTACGTATACCTACCGTGTGTGTGTGACGTAATCGAAAGTGCTCAAAATATACGCAATACAGCACCCACACACGTGGTGTTTTCCATTTTGTGCGCGAGAATAACATGTGAGAGTGGTTAATATGGGGAATAATTGTAAGATTATCGGTGGGGCATCAGGTGAGGTGAGAAATTTAACAAAAGGAAAAAGTTTTTGTTTGTTTTGTGTTGTTTTGTGTTTTTATTTTTGTTTTTTAATTGAAATATGATGATAGTTGGAGATGTAGAATGGCAGAGAGGCGTATTATTAGCGTGCGATGGCTTCGGCTTTGTGGTCAACGACGACGCGCGCCGCGACGCCGGAGAGAATCACATAGATGTGTGTTTGGTGTATTTATAGACAGGCTAAAAATTAAATGACTGAATAAATGATGGAATGGATTTGATGGCTATCGCGCGTGCCGCGACGCGCACGCGAAAACGTCTTGCGACATCGCTGCGAGTCGAAAACTTCAAACATTTTATTTTTGATTTTTGCGAGCAGAAAATCACATCATCAAAATATTTATTTAGTCATTGTTTACGAATTTGTAAAATGTGTTATATTGGTTGCCTACTTATTCTAGGCAAGTTTTAGGTTGATTTGCATTATTTTTTAAAATATTTCAATCCAAAACTTTGCTGGGAACATAAAATGTGTAACATTGGTTGCATACTTTTTGTAATCAAATTTTTCGGCTAATTTGTATACTTACTAAGCATATTTCTTTGAAGTGAATGAAAAAACAAAAAAAATTAAATGTTTACAACATCAAAATATTCAATTAATTGTATCGGTGGACTTGTAATATTGGTTGCATACTTATACTAATCAAGGTTTTTAGTTAATTTTTATTATTACTACTAGAAGAATATTGAAATTCAATGTCACCTTTTGATGTGAACAAAAGCTGAACACAAAAACACAAAACAATTTTAGAGTATTAACCGCCACGTGCAATAAGAAATACACTCATACACGCATGCGAACATGAACAATTCGTCTCGGGAAAGAAATGAAATGTAAATAAAAGTAAGAGAAAGAATTGTGTGAACAAGCAATGTGACGATGGGTTGTTAAGGGTGTATGGACGATGACAAAAAACATGTCGCACGTCAGAAGCTCAATGAACAATTCGATTTTTATTCGGACGCATTATACTTATGCACACATTGTTTCGCGTTCAAGTTCACGCGGCTCGCGAAGCTCACGCGGCGTCCATTTTGTTGTTAACTCTGTTCAGAGTGACATCTAAAACTGTTTTAAAAAGTAAAAAATTGATATACTAATAAAATATACAAAATGACAGAAGATTTGTATTTAAAATCAAAGAGTAAGGAGAAAGGTCAAATGTTTGACTTTAAATTCTTCAATCGTGAAACAAAACAGCAGAAAATGGTGATACGGATACACGTCATACCAGCAGGTCTTAAAATTGTATTAGTTGATTGTTTAAGTCACTTATTATTGTTAATTGTGTAGTTTTTATGTGTTTTTTGTGAGATTTTAATGTGTTTGATTGTATTTAGAGCCAAGATGCGGGCCAATGACTGGTATTGATCACATCGCGATGCAATCGTCGACGACGGCGAGCATCTCGCCGCCAATGGTCACCGAATCGGATCTACCTCAGCCGCTGGTCGTGCGCAATCCGTCCGACACCATGCTCAGATGGCCGACGACGCCGACCAAGACGACACCAACAAGACAAGTAACATTTTCATGAAATTATAACAAAAGAAAGTTAAATTGACAAAAATTTTAATTTCAGGTTAGCTTTAACAACAATAACAACAATAATAGCAATCTAGATAATCAACACTACGAGATCTCATCACAACAAAGACATTTGAGCGAGTTGGATAGGGATTGCTTCATCATTCCCGTACACAGCTTGGATAGGTTTCTACCAGCTGGGGTACCAATGCCTGTAAGTATATATTTCACTAAGTAATATTGGTTGCCTAACTTTTATATATTAAGAAACCGTCAACACCGATACCTCCATTATCCGCCGGCGGCGTGAACGCAATAACAAAAAAAGCTCAAGATGGGCTACATGTGATGGAAGTACCTGATCCCAAACTCTGCGTGTTGTGCCACTTAATGAGCCCCATGGAACCCATTGATCCTGTTTTGGAATCTCCGCTCAATCAACCCTTATTTAAACAACGATCGGCGGCTGGTGAACTTGTAACTGAGATCGCACAGCAGAAAACTGCGGTTACGGGCATGTTACTAGCAAATATGGAGAGGAATTGTATGTTAAAATATCATAACCTAATTTTTATTCTAACATCTTGTAATTTTTCAGCTGAATTTCCATTCATTACGTATTACGTAATCAACAGTTCACAAACCAATCCGGTGATGTTCTACAACAATCTTCGCACTGCCAGTCTCTCGAAGTTCGACCCGCGGTCCACGCGTTATTCGGCGGCGCACACATTAGATCTCTACGCAGAGGTAGCATCAATATGTCGACCGCCTATCTTTGAGGCGGGTACATCATTTACGCGTACGCACACACCGGGCACAGGATATATGGTATCAGTGTACAAAGTGTTCGAAGGCGACGATCGCGAAATCTTCGAACGCAATTGGTTGTATTGGACAGGCGCGCGCATGATTTACCGCTATTTGCCGGCGCATGCGGGTTTAAAGCGAATCTCGCTGCATAAATCACTCAGTCCCAAGGGTGACAAAATGTACATCCTTGTTTGTGAGTGCGCCAACTTGTTGAATGACGTTACTGTCTCGGCATTACTCCTGCCGGCGTTACGAGCGCGACTTACCGGCTACACGGGCTTGTTTCGACCCATACAAGTATTCTAATCATGGACCATTTTGGGTTTTTATTTGTTATTTTGTGTTTGACAAGTTTTACAAACATTCATGTGGTGCGATATCTACGTACAGCGAACTCTAAACATATCTACAGGTCCAAAGACATAAAACATGCAAGAAGGAAACGAAGAAGTAAACAATACAAGGAATTGATGTTATGTTGTAGTTTTAAATGTTACAACTTAAAACACGTTGATGAACACACGGTGAAACAGGGAATTCGCGCGAAATCAGGAAGAGGTATTGATATTTACATTTGTATAAAGATTACTGTAGTTGAGCACTTGTTTAAAGGGAGCACTTTTGAAATTTTAACATTTAACGAGTTTTTAACGCAGTTCGAATGACGCCGTTTTTCAAATCAAAGAACACCTTTATCAGTATAGGCAACCAAATTAACACTTACATATCTTGTTACATACATATTTCTGCGACAAAATTCAAAGCTTCAATTACGATTATTCACGAGGTGTTTCCAGTTGTCATTCGGACTGTATCACAAAGGAGCCTTCTTGATATGCCTTCTTCTTCGAGACTTTGACTTAACTATTATTATTGAATTATCTTGTTAACTAGAGTTATTGATTATAATTAATTATTGTATAATGCATTAGAGAGAAGTGAAATGAGGTAAAAACAAATGTGGACAGAAACAAGAAACAAAACACTCCTTTATGAATAATTTAACGTTTAAATTTTAATGTTTACTATTATACAAACAAAAAAATTAAAGAAAACAACAAAGAGACGAATTAAATTACAAAAAGCACGAGAAATTCAAAGAATTGTATTATTTGTACATGTGACTAAGTCTTTTAGAGCATCTAAGGGTATTTGATTAACTAGTATCCTTTGTGTCCTCTGAATCTGGTCCTGTTGTCCAACTAGAATGAATGTTGAATAAGGATATATTATTTTGTTATTAATTTTTATGTTTTACACGTTACCAAAGAGCGTTTGCATTCAAAAAATGTGTTCCTAAGCACTTGACATTCCATTGGCACTGTACCATCGAAAGTATTGAGGCATTCTCTTGGAGTTTTTCTTAGCTAAAATCAAATAAAAACAAAGAAAACAAATAACATGATATTTTAAACAATCAATATTTTAATTGCGCGTATATAAGAAGGTATATAATAGGATATTTAATTAATTAATGCATAAATATTACCAATGTACAGCAATCACTGCGAAGTAGACACAATTTTAAATCTGCTCGAACGCCAGAGCACGCCGTTTTGTCAGCAAGACGTTCTCCTGGTTCTGTGTACTCCATATCAAATTCTACACAAATCAATATCAAATAACAACAAACTGTTATTTAGTATTTTATAAACGTTGTTGTGATTTAGTGCTCTGCTACTGTTCGGCAAATTATTTGTGGTTACATTTGAGCACAACTAGCGCCACGGCAGATATGAGAACTAAAAATATTTGAATGTTTGAGAATAATTTTTAAATTATTGCTTTTACAGCACACTAAATTACATTTTAAACGTTTAATAATAATTTATTAAGTAATATTATACTTTATTATTATTAGATTTACATTTAAATTGTAACTAGTTAACTAAAATCTTTATGTTTTAATCTGATCATAGTCAGCTGTGATACTTCTAACCTCGAGTCAACATGCGAACTCTTCATCTAAGAAACAAAAACTATCTAAAACTATCAAAACAACTGTATAAATATACAACAAAATGCATTTCTACATGGAAACAGCCTTCCGGATACGAAACACCAGTGAAAATCTACAACTGTGTCGCAAAAACGCAAGTACCTTTTATTGTCAGCAACAAACATCTTGTCTCTTGGTATACTTGTGGCCCCACAGTTTATGATGACGCTCACATAGGCCATGCAAGTTGTTACATGCGCCTAGACATTTTACAACGAATTATGAGATATCACTTTGGTTTAAACATAGTGTCAACAATGAATATCACAGATATTGATGATAAAATCATAGCTAGAAGTCATGGTAAAAAAGTGCCTGTGAATGATATAAGTAAAGAGTATGAAAAGAGTTTTTGGGAAGATATGGATGCTTTGAGAATATCTAGACCTGATAAAGTGCTGAGAGTTACAGAAAATATGCATTTAATTGTTGAATTTATTAGTAAACTATTAAATGTTAATTTAGCATATAAAGGACCAGATGGAAGTGTTTATTTTGATGTCAAGCAATATGAAGCTATAAACGAGAGTAATAAGTATGGGAAAATGCAAAATATAGCCAGGGATGATCCAGAACAAATTAAAACTGATGGAAAAGTAAAAAACAAGAAAAATGTTGAAGATTTTGCTTTGTGGAAAGCTGCAAAACCTGGGGAACCTACCTGGGAGGCACATTTTGGTCCAGGGCGACCCGGTTGGCATATTGAATGTTCTTCTATGGCTACTTCTTTTTATGGTGAGTTAAATCATAAATAATAGTAAAATATGTTTTGCACTTGCTGTCATTTGCATGTATATTTGGTTGCCCATCTTTGTGATTTTTTAATTGATTTGGTTTATTTTGTAGGTAAAACAATTGATATCCACGCTGGCGGTATAGATCTCCGGTTTCCTCATCATGAAAACGAAGAAGCACAATCATGTGCTTATCATAATTGTAATCAGTGGGTAAATTATTGGTTACACGTCGGACATTTGCATTTACCTAACGCTGCCAAGATGTCAAAGTCACTTAAAAACACCATTTCAATTCGTGATTTACTCCAAAGCTGTGATGCTACCACTTTTCGAATGGCATGTCTTTTAACAAACTACAAACACAACATGGAATTCTCACAAGAGCATCTACAACTCGCTAATAGTCATGTGAAATCATTCAAAAACTTTATTACTAATGTTACAAGTCTAGTTAGAAAAGACGCAGTTGGCATCACTGTTAATTCCGATGTTTTACTGACAGAATTAACTAAAACTATTGAAATTGTTGAGTCTGCTTTATGTAAAGATTTTGATACTCCCGGTGTGATTAAAGCCGTGGAAAGTTTAATTTCAACCAGTAACAAAGTTATAAATACGTCTGCAAGCACAAATAATAGCGAAAACAAACATAATTCAATTGCTGCATTACTTGCTGTTGTGAATTATGTTCAAAATATAACTGAAACTTTTGGGCTGGATTTCCAAGATGGTGAAAAAGTAAGTGATGGAGCATTTGTTGAAGTAATGGATTTGTTAGTTAACTTTAGACATCAATTGAGGACTGTATCATTGGTAAGAAAAGACAAAGAGGGTTTAGCTTTGTGTGATGATATAAGAAACGAGTGTAAAAAGTTAGGAATTACTTTGAAAGATAACGCAAAGATTTCAACTTGGAATAAATGAAAATGTATGACTTTTATACATATATTGTGTTTATAAGTTTTAGAAACATGTTTATTTTATCATACAAACATGTTAAATATTGTTTACACTGTTATATTTGTTTAAAAATTTGAATTTTGTACAATCCACATCTGTTTCTGATCCGTTGTTGATATTAATTCAAAACTCCGCCGTTGTTTGGCGCTAGTAGTACATTACTCCAGCACAGCCCGCACGGCTGCTCGCTCACTGTTGCGTTTTTGTTTGGCACGAAACCTCGTCCGGTGCGTTTCATGCCGCCTCATCAACGCGTCCACCGTGTTCGTTTCCCGTTGCCCCCGTCGCCGCTCACCACCATAGCACGATAGGATTAGCCGCCTAGCAGCAGGACGCAAACACGAGCCGCACTTCCTTTCCGGCGCTGCCGCAGCCGTGTGCGCCGCGCTCATCCGCTTTATTCATTTGTTTCATCAATCCGCGCGGCGGTCCGGTGTGTCGCGTCTCCGCCTCGCTCGCGGCTCGCATCTTCAGTGTGTTTGTTCTTCGCGCGGCGGTTCAATTCGCCTGTGTGTTCACCACGTATACGCCGACAAGAGGCGTGCAGAATCATGGCCGCCAACTTGACTCAAGACCAATTGATCGTAAGTACACACATTTCGATTGATAAACCGTCTGTCTGTCTGCACTGTGCGCGTGTTACATGTTTGCGTTGTACACAATGCGTGAATATTGTGAATCACTCACTGTGCGTTTATCTTTCCAAGCGGATGCAATCAATGAAAATTGCTTGCAACAAAATGCAACGAGGACGTCTGCGCAATTGTTACTCGTGCCACATTTGTACATACGGTTGCGTTAATTGTCATTGTTGCAAACAAATTCGCAACATTTACCACACATACACACAACACACACAGAAAAACACTGAAAAACTGATTTTTCATCTTTCATTCTACATCGTTAACTCATTCACCCTTTGTGAATATTCTCGCCTCGTCGCTTCGTTTAGCGCTGAACGCATCAGCTTTAATTGAAGCAATGAAGCGCGACGTAGGCGTTTTTACTCCGTGTTGGTGTTAATAATTGTTCACGAGTGCTGACACCGAAAAAAATCGTCAGTCGTCGTTGGTTACTTCGGTGTATGGTGCCACAGTTGGTGACATTGATCTTGGTGTAAGTAATGTTTGCACGTGCGTGATAATTCACACGTGCAAAGGGTGAAAACATTTAAATTTAGTGTAAAACCGTAATTATTTCTTTTGTGGTATTATTATTATTAGTATTACGACTTGGTGATAAGACCGCCCACCTGTGGCTTTTGTTTGCCTCGTGTCGTGAAGTTATTGATTTCCTCAAGGTCACTCCATTCGCGAAAACTGTTTCCTTTTATCACCCACTTGTAGGTGGCTAAATAAAGTTTTATTTGTTTTCGGGATAATCACCGGTAAATTTGACTATTGTGCCCGAAATAGTTCAAAATTATTCATTAAATTATGTTGGGTATGAATGAAAACAGGCTTTGATATCATTTCTGCTTGTGATAAAATAAAAATACTATTGATAACGGTTGGTATGCGTAATTTATATGTATGTAAATAAAATACGTTGTGTAAATTTTCCATGAATTCTGCAGTAGTTCATTAGGAAACTATGTTATCGGCACATATTTGACCGATTGACAAGTGTAGAAGTTGTTTTTGTAGAATAATATGCAGGTAATATGTAGGTACGAATGTCGCGATGTGTGTGGATGTGGGTAACCGTTTCGTTTAATCGCGCTGCGACTAGATTTCTTTTTGTTTTCCCGTTCCCTCGCCTCGCCGCGTTTCTAGTTTAGTTGTAATACCTGCACGTACATATAACTTTTTAACAATAATATGTAGTTGGTTTATGTAGGTATGTGTCGTTTAACTACGATTGTATGCTTGACACGGAGAAATAGAAAGCAAAACAATGCCATTTATGTAGGAGACATACTTATTTTTTTATTGGTTTTGTGTTAATGTGCGAATGATTCGAATTGGAATAATTACAGTGGTGGGTAAATCAATATTAGTTGAAATATAGAGTAAGTATTAGTTATTATTGATTACTGGAAAACTATTTGCAATGAAATTATGATTCATTCATAGGTATATTATTCTAGATTAAATTTTATATCTTACGGAGTAAATACTTTGTTCGTAAGATTATTACAGGATAAATTATTAATCAATAAAGTCATTTAGTTATAGGTAGGTTCTAGAAAAGAAGGTTTTTCCAGTTTCTGAAATAGTTTTATCATAAAATTGACGAAATAAAAGTGGTAGGATTAGCAAAGTTTAATAAAAATTGCCATTTTGCAATTTTGATTGCAAATTTGGCCGGGTTATCATTAAATAAGCGGTTTTTTTCTTAGTAATTGTAATCTTAAATAAATACTAATTAATAATTTATAAAATTTATCTAGGGAAATGCATTTTATTTTCTTATTCTCCAAAGCATGCAAAATTTAATTCTGAATAAATTCTTGCCTGAAGATTTCTGTAATAAAACTTGATTACTTTTTGTGTAATCAATTAATAACTGAGTTTATGTACCCTGTGCATATTTAGATGTGCATGTCTTCAAAGAATTCTATTCATGGATACAGAGTGTTTATTTAAAATATGTTATCTTTTTCATATGTTGATTCAAATCGCAATTGGGGAATTTCCACGCATATATTCCATGAAACGTTTATTTTCTCCCGTCTAAAATATTAAGTACACATTATACAATACACATATACAAAAAATGTTCGAAATTTTTGTATAATTACAACCTTGCTGATTAAAAAAAAATAGTTTATACCAGAGAAAAAGTCCATCATTAAATACTAATATAAAACATATAGGGGGAAGTCCCGTAACGCCGGACGGCACCTAGCACCGGACACTCGTACTATTTAAGCTAGTTTAAATCTTTTCATTTCAAAAAACAAGTGAAAGGGGTGCGGGGGGCACACAGGTACAGGATCACTCGTCGTGGCTCGCCAGAAACGCACACGGCCACGGCGGGAGCAGCCGTTTGCTGTTTCAGGCGCAAACTCACGACGTCACCTAAATTTCAATGTAAGTAATTCTAGTATATTTATGCATTTACATTTGAGTGGCATTCAAAGATAAAAGTAGTACTTGATTGTTATCCGTAAAATGGTAGAATATTATTAGATTTTTTAAACAATTTTAGTAGGTACCACCAAATGAACGAAAATGTCTGTCCCTTAGCACCGGACACTAAGTTGTCCCTTAGCGCCGGACAGTAAACATATTGATATTTCTTGTGAGAGAGAGAGAGTGAGGAGATGGCTATGTTGCAGTCAATGCATACATTTAGTAAATGTATACATTTACTAGACAAGGCATACATTCGCTAAAATTCGTAGTTAAAGTATTCATTGTAACTGAAATGAACACATTAGCTAGTGGATGTATGCATTCACGGGCTGCTTCAAGTCAGTGTGTTAAATCCGTTGATTAAATCGTTAAATTCTATCACCCCACCCCCCACCGCCCCATAAATAATACCAAACAAGGTAGCCTACCTAACCATATGACATATTTGAAATGTCCGGTGAGAGGGGTATGGCACAAATATGTGTCCGGTACTAGGTGCCACTTTTTAAAACTATACTTTTTATTACCAAAGTTTGATTGATAGTATTAATTATTTTTTACCAGAGGTTGCATTTTTGTTATTTTAATTTGATTTCTAACTTTGTTATCTACTATATGTCATAATTTAATTAACATTTCTTCAAATATTTTTTGATTTATTTATAAATAACCTTAGGTGTCCGCCACTAGGGGACTTCCCCCTAAATTGTTTATATGCGTTTCGCGTTTATATTTTGCATCGATTGTTTGAGTTTAAGTTTCAATACTCGAGATCAGTCACTCAGTGCGGTTGCGATGCGGTGTCGTTGCCTTAGGTATTATTATCCAATTGGAAAAAATGAGAACATCGAAGGCGCACGTCGGGCTCGGACTCACCTGAGCGCCGACGACACCAATACCACGGGTATAAATAAATACATGCAGGCATAAGAAATCAATGGCATTTAAATTTACTATTTTCTTTTATTCTTTTTATTCAGTTAGCAAAATCACTTTGTTCTTTTTTTTAATGTAAAAACCATTTACTTCGGTACGTATGCACTCAACTGTCTGATTCATAAAATTACGATTTGTTCCAATTGAACGTGACCTCTCACTCTTAGGTATGTAATAATAAAATAATAAACATGGGAGACAAATGGAAACCAAATTTAAACCGTGTCTCATAAGTGAGATATCAGATTGTCATTCAATTTAGCAATACTGCATGTAATTTACTTTCAATTTGCTATAAATAACACGCGGTGACAAGTGTCAGCTTCAATCTCACTTAACATTTATTTTCTACTGATAAAAATAATATCTATTTGAATAAATCACATTTGGCTAGTTTAATTTTATATTCTTCTGCTATTTTCACTTTTAAAGTTCCAGTTTTTGTTTGTTTTGAGGTTCAAAAAGTGGTATTTTAATCACGGACTGCCAATGTACTTTAGTCACATGCTTTAGCCACGAAATGGAACTTGCACGCCATTTATAACCTTACATTTCACTGTAGTGGGTGAGTGAATTTCGAAGATTTAAAATAAAAAATAGAAATACAAAAACTAAACGTGGAAGTAGAGTGGAAGTAGAAAAAATGGCATAAGCATAACGTGGCTAAACATTGTTAAACACTTGACTGATTAAACGCTCGCTTCACTTGCTCTTAATCAATCTCGTGACTAAAAACTACTGTTTATTCACGTGATATTTAATATACTATTATACTTTGTTATTATTTAATGATTAATGCATTCTGCGATAGTTTGTTGAACTTGGTCACGATAACATTAATTTTTCATGTCACTTATCCTATTTAATTGCTATAATCACTGTTTACATGATTACGTAATAATATCCATGCGGCAGCGTGATTTACATTAGCTTGCACTTCTTGGAACATTCATCACATTTGTTTGATCAGTGGCTTATTTATTTGGCGATATTCCTGGAATCTCAACAACATGATTGTGGTTTGTTTCTGTATTGAAATTCCTGATAATTTACGCGTGGATTATATTTTGACGTTTTGCTAATTGGTAACTTGATACTTTCTCATGTTTGTGTATGTGTACGCGAGAGATCGGATAATTTCAGTAAGTGATATTCGTGCTTGTTTACCTATATTGTTTATTCATCGACGCGTTGCGCAATGAAAAGTGGCTGCAAAAATGTCTTGTCGCCGAGCGAATCGTATCGGTGACCCACTTTGTTTAGTATTCTCGTATGCGCGCAAATAGCTCTCGCATTCAATTGATTTGAATGCGAAGCGAGCTGGCCAGCATTGAAATTTGATGAAAATTCCGCACGTATTTCTAGGAATGAATTCAGCTGGGGTGAAATTGCATTAAAGGGGAGACGAAACGGAAGTTTACGGTTGGGATTCTTTTGTGATAGTTTATTTTGGGTTTTTGCTACGGTATAACGGTTTTACAAAGTAATTTTTACAAATCTGCCCGTTTTTTTATATAAATTTTTCCCTTGGCGAGTATATATCTCTAGGGAAACATTTATTATTATTATTTATTATTTAATTTTTATTCTGATTTGGGTTTTTCAAAGTAATTTTTACATAAAATTCATTTCTTTACCTCCTTGGCCATCCGGATCCCTTTTTTTATTATTACATATTAAATTCTCTCTCTTGATGGATCACTTTATTGTATACAATACGCGAATTTTATTTTTATTCTTTTATTTCTGAATTTTAAAACTTTTCAAGGAAATTTGCTCCATCATGACACATCATCCTAATAAAATGTTATTGCACATTTTAAATAACTCCTTACGTACGACTTTAACGACAAAATAAATACCATGCGACAAGTTACACAGAAACCGAATTAAATAACAAGACTCTCCATCTGCATCGTTGAAACGGTTGAAATTCAGCCGTCGGCAATGTCACTCATTAGTTTATATAAACTCAGCGTACAATAGAAACGCGCGCGCTCGACATAAAGTCATAAAACATTCTTCGTTATTTAGTCATTTACTCGCCCATTGATTACACCGGCAGATTGTTTTGTTTGAATTGTAGAAATTCAGGCCACACGGGCATTATTCATGCCATGGCAGCTTTGTGTTTGTATGTTTGTGTGTTTATTTCTTGTTACCCACTGCATTGTCTCCGCGTTGATGAACTTTCTTTGTCTTATCTATGCTGAGATTCAAGAGGTAGCACAAGCACACTTCTAAGCATCTAAACACTTGTGTGTTGTGTATCATGTCATCGCGAATAGAAATAGAAACTTGGCTGTTTGTGTTTACTTTACTCTTGACTCTTTTTTTTACTTTTTAAGTTTTAATGGAAAGGTGCAATTAAAAATTCACTTTTCTTTGGAGGTTAGAATAGTGAGACGCTTTTAAAACATCATCAACGAGAAGAATGCGGATAGAATGTTCGAAAAGAGAATTTTGAAGAGAAATTTCAACGTTGTGATGTTTACAAAATCGCAGCCGTTTAATTTTAAGCTTCGCGGATAAATATCAGGTATTTTCGTTTTAGTTTAAACAAATTGGGATAATAATCAAACTCGACATCCGGTGAATCAATTTGCGTATGTTGTTTATTCGCAAAATTTCCAAATTTCTAAAGATAAAGTAAAATCTTATTTTATGAGTGAAAATTTCCCAATAAACAATTAAATGTCGCCATATGCAGCATCTAGCATTACTCATTTTTATTATAGTATTTCCACGGACAGGACAGGATACTGTCATGTCACACTCGACACGAAAAATAGGTGCTTAAGAGGCGACTCGAAGCTGTTAAAACAGATGCGCAATACTCATACTTGTGGTATGTAATGTATTGCACACTGTACACTCGTATATCTTGTGTGCTGAGATTGCTTCTCAACGAGAAAACATTACCTATCCCACAGTAGTATGCGTTCCGACGCCCGACGCCTTACGCCAAGTTCGGAGCAAACCCACATCCGACATCCTCATCCTCTTTTTTATTGGTTTGTCGGGCAGCCACGGAGAGACATTGAGGTTATTTTTTTTTTCATTTTGGTTTTGTAAGCACGGTTTGAGTAATACTTCGAGGTAATTTATTTATTCATCTAAAAATATGACCGGGATACCAAGATGTGCAAGTTGGGAATTATACAGGGTGTAAAAATAAATTTTAAAATTTAAAATATGAAAAATAAATTAATTAAATGTTTATAAAATTTAAATTTTAAAATTTTTCAAAAAAATTTATTTTTATAATTTATTTTTACACTGAGGTTAAATATAAATAAGTCTATGTATAATGTTGTGAATATATATTGCGTAAATAGGTACTTCCGGCGACCCGGCAGAGACATGAAACGTTGCTTCCGGCCGAGTAGCTGTCGAGGCGTGTTCTCCTCTCCTTCCGGATTGAATCGAGAGACGCGCAAGAAGACTTGCGTCATATTTTACACTCGTAGAGAACATGACGATATTAACACACACGCATGACATTTCTCGAACATCTCACACATTGCATTGGTTTGTAGTCGTCGGAAAGCATGACAGATCAAACGGATTACCCGCAATCACCTCGCCATATGGATGCACTCGTCATCGTCGCACTCGCACATCAACACGTCATCCAACACGCCACGAGTAGTTTTCGAGTAGAGTCACACTTGAGAGCAACCGCACACAATGCACATATACACAGAGAGACACGCGTCATGTTTCGTAGGTGTGATGATGATGATGATTTCTAAGTAGTGGTACTTTTTTTATTTAGTAGAATTTGTATTTATCGATTTAATTATGCATTTAGGTAGAACACATTTTAGATGACGCTTCTTATCTAGATACGCTATAAGTAGTCATTGTTAGTGGATATAGATATAAATATAAATATTGTGTTAGTTAAAGCGTTTATAACTCAAGAACAGTTGGGTTGATTTTGATGATTTATGACTTTTTGGATTCATCTTGATCCAGAATAGCAGAATAAGTAATAAAACATTCAAAATTGTGATCTAAAGGGTGTTAAATATGGGGTGAAACTTGCTATAGAGATTTTATGATACTTACAGTTGAATAATTCAATCAGAGATGGCGCTACAGTATATTAATCGTGACTAAAGTGCTATTTAGCGCACTTAATAATTAATATATTATTAAGTCGTAATGTAAACTAAATTAAAACAAAATAATAAGATAATTGCATGAATAATTAATTTAAAAGCGTTTTTTCCGTGATTTTACTGCATTTAAAAATTGTAATCGTGAAATTAGAATATATGACGCGTAGATAATATTATTCTAATTGAATTTACAACATGGCGCCATGCAAATGTAAACGTTTCGCACCTAAATTAAATAAACACCTCCCGCGGAAAAGTATCAATGAATTGCGCGCTACTTGCGAATTATTTCGCGCACGTTTGCAGTTCCTGTTTGCATTAATCGAATTCACGCCGTAGTTTATGAATGAAACTACGCAGTAATTTTCAATTTTCCTATTCGCAATCTAAACAAACAGCCGCGCCCGCACCAACGCGTTTGAATTTTTTATTTTTCAATCATCTCTCTAACGTTTTATGCTATAACTTAGATGTCGATAATATTTTGTAACCAGATTACTCAACTCCGCACTTATTAACATAATTCTGCTAGTTTACCGTTTCCTTTTCCTCTCTTCGGCTTCCTTTCGCTTGTGTGTACAGTGATGCACGCAAAAAATATTCGTTTATTGCGTCAGGAATTTATCTCGGTTCTATCAACGCCTAGTTGGTGAATTTTGCAATTTTCACCTCATTGCGCATCGCTGCTTTATTATTTATTCGCTTTGCATCGCCTCGCACATGGCAATTAGATTTAACATTTCTATTCGTAATAATTAATTAGTGATGCGTTGTTATGCAACGTTTTGTTCAACTTGTAAACAAAACAGATTGTTGCGCTTCGACGCTGTTTGGCTTTTTGTACTCGTTACGCCTCGAAATGGGTTGGTTCTAATTAATTATGCGAATGTGTAATCCGAATTCGTTCCGCAATTACACTTAAATATTAATTAAAACTTAGTTTTACATGATTGTATAAAATTTACACGTTTTAAATTAATTTGAAATTATTTTCTAGGCGACGAAAAAATTTCTCCAGATTGTCAACGCCCGCTCGCGACATAAACACGACCTGAAGTTTTCGATGGCTGTGAAGTTTCTCTTCGCACGAAAATTTGACGTCGAGCGTGCTATCGCCCTCTATCAGCAGCATGAGGTGACTCGTCAGCGTGAAGGTCTAAGCAACTTTGATCCAAAGGTTGAACCGTTGAAAAGCGAGCTAAAAACTGGAAAATTTACGATTTTGGTAAATATTTTCTTTAAAAAGTAATAAAATTTGTTAGTAATTAATTTGTATTTTTAAATTTTAGCCTAAAAGAGATATCGGTGACGCCGCCATTGCTGTTTTCACAGCACACAAACATATCCCAGCGAAGAGTACACATCAAACCACTTTGCAGGGTGTCGTTTATCAACTGGACGCAGCACTGCAGAATCCCGTCACGCAGCGCTCCGGAATTGTTTTTATCTACGACATGTCCAACTCCAAGTTTTCCAACTTTGACTACGATCTGAGTCAGAAGATCCTGACCCTCCTGAAGGTGAGTCATATTTACTGTTGTTAAACACACATTGCGCGCTAATTACGAGATAATTGATGTGAGTTTGGACTCCGTTACCGTAATTAATCTTATTATGCTATTATGCACTGTCGGCTAGAGTAAATAAGTTAAATTTATTGTATGTTACCATGTGTACAACCAACAAGTTGTTTGGGTTGCATATAGTTATACTTTGATTTAGTCGGGTGTAATATTGGTTGCATAAGTTAACTCATGAGGAAAGTTGGTTGAAGTTTTAATGATGATAGAAATTGATGTTTGTGTTGTGAATGAGTTTTCATTTCGCTTTTGTTTAATGACTTTTATTGACTCGTTTTGTGAGGTTAGGTTGCAGTGCGTGTGGTAATATCATGCGTGCTGCGCCGGTGCGCTGATAACGAGGCGGTGTTTCCAAGGTTGTGTGCGTCTCTTAGATGGCAAGTGCACACACAATACACACGCGCGTGCGCTCCGACTAACGATGATGGTGACGATGCCGCTGCCCGAGGCAGAATCGGTTTCGCGTGCCGCGCGCAATAAAACATTAGCATTAGCGCGCGTGTTTACGAAACCGTGACCCAGAGCCGGCCGCTAGTCGCGATGCGACGCGATCATTAGCGTGTTTTGTTGGTAGTCGCAGCGCGGACGCCGAACATGTGCGATATGTTTACATAACTTTGCGAATTTTTCAAGTTTCCCTCTTGTTAGCGAAGTGTATTTCGATTGATTGAAATAAAATTTATAATAAGGTTGTGAATGTTTGACAGTTGACATATTTGACGTGTTTTTGACATTTGGCAATAGTTTTAAATTTGCCGTTGATGTTTGGAAGAATTTCAGTGATAATATAAGTGAATTTTTGCGATAATCGTGTTAATAATAATAGTGCACGGTTGTTTTCGTTGTTGGTTTAATGCGATGGTATTAGCGCACGTGTTAACCTCCGCAATTTCCATTGGACGTGACCAACACAAAAACGCATCGCATGCGCAGTTTTCACGAAGGTATTTTATGATATTTTGCGTTTTTTGTGCTAAGAAAAGCGGAGAGAAACTATAATTACATGAAAATCAACAATAAATCTTATTTTTGGGATTACAAATTGCTATTTCAAGGTACAAAGGTAATTAGTATGCCTTTGAGTGTCTTAAAAACACATAAATTAGTTTTTTTGAATTTTGACATTTAATTTTTCAATTTTAAATAGAATATTGATAAATATCTAGAGAATTAGAGAGGCGTCTTGTACAAAAATGGAAACTTGATTTGGCCAAACAGTTTAGTCGGTATTTATGGATTAGTATTGTTATTATCCGTCTAGTATGGATAGTTTCGCAGCGGTTGTAACAATACTTTACTCTGTGACTCACCGTCTCACGTTATATTTATTTTGCAAATAATATGACCTAATATTAACATATCCGCATGGTATATGACTAAAATTGGTTGTTATCCACACGGTAGTTCTGTTATCTTAAGGGATGCGCCGCTGCGCATGCGTGGCCGAACGCGGCGTCGCGACGACACGACGACCGGCGTCGCACGACGAACGCGACTGACGTGCACGTAACATCATCGATTGCGCCAACCCGCGCGCTCCATCGTCGTCGTCGGGCGCTCGTTTGCTGTGTCCGCGAACCGAAAACGAACTCAATTCGCCATTCGGAGTCGACGAAATAAATACGAAACACACACGCACTCGCGCGATGAGAATTCGTAAACCGTACGCGTTTTGTGCTTCGGGAAATAAAAGTTAAATTCATCTTCTTCCTTCGGCTGGTGCGAGGATAGTCGTCCACTTCCGAAAGGAACTGATATCTCGAAGGAAATCGGCGCTTTTCCGGCGGCGCGCGGTGTATGCCAGTGGCAGCAAGTATTAATAAACTTGCAGCCGGGGCGCGGAGCAGGCGGCAAAAATATCTGCGCGCCGAACATCAGGAAGTGATTAAGTATCGCGGCCGGACAAGACATGGGAATTTAACCTGTGATGTGCTAGAATTTACTCATACTGCAGGGGAAAATAAGCAGAGATCTACTTTACCGATTTAGCAGCAAACAGCAAACAAGTGAGTAATACGTATTGAAATTGAAAGTGATGCGTCCTGATGTGAATTATAAATATAAATAATAATAATAATAATGCAGTAATGCGCGCGTTAATAACATAATAAGCGTCAATTTGTGCTCGTGCGGAGCAACGCGGTCGAAATTGACGATAAACTAGGGAAGCTAAGCTAGGCTCTGACTTGTGGACACACTGCACAAGAGCTTTTTACTGCGAGCGCGGAGCAAATAGAGCAGACACAATGAACGCGCTGCTCTCGGTACGCTTCGGAGATCCTCTTTTGTATGCGATGTGTGCGTGTAAGCACAAAGAAAAGCACTGTGCGAAAATGATACCGATAGGTTCAATATTGCGACGGCCAGTGTCCTGTAATCAGTCTACGGACACAAGTTTATTATTTCCTTCTTAGCGTCAGGAATGTCAGATGAAAACGATGACTAATAACCTGCTGTTTTGCTGTGGTAGGGAGAAAGATTTATTTTATTGCGTAATGTTTGAAAATTGATGATTTTTCAACAATTTTCTGACCTAAATTTAAGATGTATGACTCATTATTGACAAATGTGTCGCGTTTGTTTATGAATGTACTTTGCAACTATTGCGATTTAGCGCTGAATGATTTAAGATTAACTTCAGTCACACTCCAAACTTAAATACCTACCGAATTTCGTATTTAATTATAAACCGTAAGCATTAATGCAGTGTCATACATTTTGTGAGAATATTCAGCGAGTTGAGTTGAGTGCGTTACCTCGACACACAAATTTATTTTCGTTTCTGTTCGCGAATCTTTCATTTAATTTTATTTTTGCTTTTTGATGAAATTAATCATTAATAAAAATTAATCTTATTAGTTATAATTTAATCTCTTAATTGGTCTTTATTGAATTGTATGTTTTATTTTTGGTCGAGTGTGGATTATACTAATTACAAAAAATGTGACGTTTGTATGCGAAAAGTCTGCGGCGTATTATTCCGAGAAGTTGATGCCACTCATCATCGACTTAGGTTTTGTTTCGTGAAAAATAAAAGTCGCGGAGTAAAATGAAATAGAGTGTATTTCACGAATTTCTCATTACGTAATGCTTATTATGCCCGTTTCGAATATGTGTACCTGCGTTTAACGTGTAAAATAATCAGGCGAGTTCATGGAAACTCAGCGACCACAACTCGGGCAGTCTGGCACGATGGAGAATACGCAGAAGGCGAATTTCTACGAGTTGAGAGTTTTGATAGGTGTCATTATGTGCAGGCATGCAAGCAGCATGCACACAGGTACTTCAGGGGGAAATCAAAAGGGAGCAAAGGTTACGGGTCGAGGGTTGCGACCGAAGTAAAAGGGCAGAAGCAGAGGGACGTTTGTTTGGTGAGCTTTGAATTACACTACTGCTAGGGTGAGTCATCCACCAACAGCACATGTCAAGTTAGGTTATGTTTATGTTTATACTCATTTTGTGACAAGTAAAGTTGCATAACTTACAACTTAAGCTATGGAAGAAGTATTTAATATAATATATTATTCAGATATTCCTTGTTTACGCTGCTATTAAACAAAAACAATAAAACAGTAACACGTGTCTGACAATGAATAATAAATAATTACATGCGGCGTACACGAAGTGTGTGGTGTGTGGTGCGTTTAATAGCCTCGTGTATTATTCGGTTTTATTTCGTTTAATTAAGTGCATGAAATTTCCGTTTGCTTGGCTTGGCGTTGTTTTATTACTGCATGTTAGCAAAGTGTCTACCTGCCGACAATGAACATGACAAGGTGGTTGCAAGAAATGGGTCATTTTTTATGCAGCTTTTCACGCGCCGATTCCGAAAAAGGAAACCATTAAAAATAGAGTACGTGGAAAAACGCGAACGGGGAAAATAAAGTAATATAAAAATGCGGCGAAGGTCTGAAGATCGATATTTCACAGAAAGGTTGTGTATGTGGCGACGATTTGTCGTAAGTTGAAATATGCGGATGGGAATAGAAATGTGAGTTGCGCTGACTTTGATGGAGTTCACTCGAATTTGTGGGGCTTATATCGATTCGATTTGGAACTGGACCTCGGCTGGCCTCTCTGAAATCGGGAAGGACGTACGAGTATCTCGTGTACATCGAGTATCGATTAGCAAATGGCCGCCTACGCAGATCAAGCGCAAATTAGAAATAACTAGCTATTAGCTACACATTTATATTATATCATGCAATGCAATCGATGTTAAAAGTTTACTTCTGAGGTTAGGAAACATAAGTTCTGTTTGGTGTAATGTTGGTTGCCTGTGTTTTAGGATAAATTATCATTCGGATTGTTTGTATTCTCACTTTCTCTCGCTTTTCGCTCATTTCTCCTATTAGGAGAGATAATAAATTAATTACAGCACAAGGCGGCCTAATTTACGACTTCCAAAGAGTGTTAGTAATTGCCATGCGGCACGAAGCGCTGGAAAATAGACAAAACTAAGTAATGTACATATGCCGCGCACGAAATCCGAATAAATTAACTCACGAAAAGCAACACACCCTCGGTTTGGTTAATTCTATGAATGCATACTAAAAAACGTTAAACTAGGGCGCAAAAGGGCAAAGAAAACGCCCTAAAGTCACACGAATCACTTAACTGCTTAACAAAACTAAAATTATGCATAAATCAAAGTAAAAAGCAGTAATTTTAATCAAATCAAGGTTAAACACGCACTTAAAGTTAAAATTTAAAGTTTTTTTTTGTTGAATGAAAGTTTTTCTTGGCACGCATTAACGTGCCAAAGATTTTAAAGTGATAATGATGGGTTTATTTAAAGTGTGAAACATTATCTAATAGTTAAATTTATATTTTACTTCAAAAACACATTTAATTTTGTTAAATATGAATAATTTACAAAAATCTTAACCTAGTGAACATTATATTCATTATCCAGGTGAATTTTAAATGTTAAAAATTTTGTTTACGCTTTTGTGCACATTAAGCAATATAATTGCTTGAATTATTCAAACGATTACGTTGTTGTGGGCTGTTACCGTTTGTTGTGATGTGCGTGTGTTGAAATGCTCTCCGAGTTTGAATTCAACTTCCTTTTTATTTAAATTCGTATTTTATACTTATCTTTATCTCGGTACATTCTGAAGTTTTATTTATATTGAGATTCTTTTCCAGTGAGTACTCGGCGGGCTGCAAATTATTCGCGTTAATGCTCGCTGGCTGCTTGCGTTTTTCTTCGCGCCTGCTTTGGTTTTGGTTTCATGCTTTCTGCTTTTTTTGCGCGCGCGCGCACGCGAATTCTTTTCTCTCGTTGTGTTGTGCCGCTGCTCATCAGCGAGCGCTTGTCTGCTAACAAGAATAAGAGCGGCGGTTGAAGACGCGTTGCGTCAAATTTCCGAATTGTGATTGCTTTAATCGCCGCCGAGTTGTACTTCCTGGTTCAGTATACGTTTTCGTTTCGCGCTGCCAACACTCTAAAAGAGTTACATATTTCGTACAGAAAATATTTAATGTTTAAGATGGTATTTGATGGTTAAAATGTTTTTAAATTGTGTTTTTAAATGTTTTTATTTTGTGATTTTCAGGGAGGTTATCCTGCTAAACTGAAGAAGGTGCTCATCGTGACGGCCCCGCTGTGGTTCAAAGCACCATTTGGAATTTTGCGACTGTTTGTGCGCGAGAAACTGCGCGAGCGCGTCTACACCGTGTCGGTGGCGCAGCTGTGTACGCACATCCCCCGGGAGTCGCTGCCCACGCAGCTGGGCGGCAATCTAGTTCTGGATCACGATGGCTGGCTCGCCGACTGTATGCAGTCAATGACTACCAGGGAGGATTCACCAACACCCGACTACGGTAAGTTTTTTCTGCTTTTTTCTGCAAAATTTTGATTTAAACTTTAATTTTATTCCAGATGGCAAATCGCCATCGTCGCCGGATAAGCTCATCAACTCGGACATTGAGATCTCAGCATCCCCCAATAACATAAACAACATGGAGAGCAGCTGGGCCGAGGAGGGCATCATGAACCCGCCGAGCAGTGCCTCTTCGGGCTTCTCCGACGACGACTCCTTACACGGTGACGGCGCCGTGATGAGTGTCCAACAGCTGGTCGAACATGTCCGTGACGCAGGCCGCGAGGGTCTCACTAAGGAATACGCGGAAATTCGCGCACGTCCACCAGAGGGTTTGTTTGCCTGCGCGCGCCTTAAGAACAACCTGCCGAAGAACCGCTACACGGACGTGCTGTGCTATGATCATTCTCGCGTCATCCTCACTGAATTACCCGGCGAGCCGGACAGCGACTATATACATGCTAACTTTGTCGATGGGTACAAGCAGAAGAACGCTTTCATTAACACGCAAGGCCCGCTGCCGAAGACAACGCCTGATTTTTGGCGCATGGTTTGGGAGCAGCACACGCTTGTGGTGGTGATGACCACGCGCGCAATGGAACGCGGGCGGGTCAAATGTCATCAGTATTGGGAGAGCGATGTGGATCGCGAGACTGCCTACGCCGAGTTTATCGTACGCACCATCGCCATTGAGTCAAACGCTGACTATACCGTTTCGACTATCGAATTAGTTAATAACAAAGTAAGTATTATTCACATTTTAGGTTTAAACTGTTTAATTTATGATATTTTTGTTTTAGACGGAGGAAACAAGACAAGTTTCCCATTGGCAGTTTACCTCGTGGCCGGATTATGGCGTCCCGCACACGGCGAAAGGACTCATTGAGTTTCTAGAGCGCGTGCGTCAACAACAAGCGACTATGGTGGCAGCACTGGGCGATACGTGGGCGGGGCATCCGCGTGGTCCACCGATAATTGTCCATTGCAGCGCTGGTATTGGTCGTACCGGTAAGTTTTATTATTAACTTTTATTTTATTAATTTGAAGCAAGATTTTAAATTTTTTTATGTTTTAGGGACTTTCTGCACGTTGGATATTTGCATATCACGGCTCGAAGACGTTGGCACCGCGGACATCCGCGGCACAGTCGAAAAGATCCGCTCGCAGCGCGCATACTCGATACAAATGCCCGACCAGTACATCTTCTGCCACATCGCTCTCATCGAGTACGCGGTGATGAAGGGCCACCTTCAAGCGGCACTGCTGCCCGAATTCGCAGCCGAAGACGATTCGGAGTGAACGAACATATATTAAAACACGATACTGTGAACAAACACGATGTGCTGTGCGATTTTTGTCCGGTTATTGATAAGGTATTTTGCATTAACGCTAACGAACGAAATGATAACGAATCCGCGCGCGTCGCGTCGACGCAGAGCGGTTGTTTTTATATTGTATTCATGCCTCTTATAATGACCAATGATGCGGCTCGCATTCGATTGGTGGGCGTGTGCGACGTTGCCACCGATCGGATGAAATCGTAGCGATGGGAAAACTTGTGATTTTTTTCATAAGAGTGTGACGACGTATTTATTTATGCGGTTTATTTATGCGGAAGGGTTTGCGCTGTAGAGAGGGTTTTAATTTGTATAGATTTGCGCCATTGCACGCAAGTTGTTTAGATCTGCATTGCTTTCATAAGTTGACATAACACAAATCCATCCAATTCAATGAACACTAATTATAGATTACAATATTTAAAGAGTTCATATAATATTGCCAAATTAAATCTATTACAATACTACATAGCAACAACACCGAAAAACAGAACATAAAATTAATAATGCAGGAGGTTGAAAACATAAAATGCAAACATAAAATCGTTCGTTTCAAACAAAGTTCCTTAAGATTCAAAATGGCGTCGTACATTCTCTCATCGCTGACAAAATGAAACGAACTTGAAACATGAAGGGATGGTTTCTACAAGACTGCAAAACGGTTTTAAGATTAACTAAATAAATAAACTAGCTAAAATGAAAGTAAACAATTACCGAAGAAACAAAGGGATGCAAGCGATGTCACATTGACAGCCGGAAAAGCGGAAAACAAAAAGAACTGAATTAAATCTAAAAAAAAATCTAGCAAAAATGTACCTTGTTACCTTTTTCGATGCGAGTTTCCAATTGGTTGCCCCTTTGTTTGTTTTGCATGTTTCGAATTGTCGGTCTTTTTATACGAATCACACCGCCGCCAGCTCTGATAACTTTGATAATTTATTACAACCCCAATGTTTATTGTAAATGTTTGTATGAATGGATTTTAGTTTTTAATTGTAACGTTGGGCGAAGGCGAGGTGATGAACACTTGATTATCTCAACATAGTACAATCGATTTTGCTACACTATGATTCTAACTATTAACGATCTAGGAAAATGAGACATTCATTTCAATGTTTGTATATCTTGTCCTTCTGCTTGTTATTGCGTTTCGATTTGTGAATCACGCTGTCTGGACAACGGCAGTGTGGTTTCTGAATCATAATTGTGCATTATAAATACTTGTTTTATATTTATTACCCAAAAATCTCGTTTTCATCTCTTTTATTGTCTAAATCAAGTTTTGTCTATGTATTGTATATAATGTATCCATGATTATTATTTCTTTGAAAACGATATACAACAAAATAAGATACAAATGATGTATTCTTTTAAAATGATCAAAAACATCCTAAAAATTTATACTTTTGCCTGAAAGCTGTCCTGTTTTCTTGGTTTATTATTTATATGTATGTTTGGTTGCCTAGCTAAATTCTAAATTATGTTTTATGAATTTTTATTGCAATTTTAATATTTTTGCGTTTATGGATTCAATTAATGACTTATTTTAGTTGTGAATCATAGTAATATTTTTATGTAAGTGGTTTTAATTTAAAATTTGTAAAAACAAATAATTCGTTTTGTTTTATAATTGCTAGATGCCGCTAGGTACACGATGCAGGTATTTTTGTGCGTGATGATTGGCCGGCGATTCTCCGCGCGGTGGGCAGTGCGCACCGCAAGAAGTGTCAACGCGTGAACATGGCCGACGGCGCGACCGACGGCCAGCCGCACCACCAACAACACCGCCATCCGCAGGACGCACGCCGCCAGCCACCGCCACAGCCGCATCAGCCGCAGCCGGTGCAGTCGCAGCGAGTGCAGTGCAACGCGTCCGCCACGATGCGCGTGGCGAGCAACGGGCCGCGTGTCGTCACCATCAACAAAACTGAGACGGGGTTCGGTTTCAACGTGCGCGGCCAGGTGAGCGAGGGCGGCCAGCTACGCAGCATCAACGGAGAACTTTACGCCCCCCTGCAGCATGTCAGCGCTGTCTTGGACCAAGGCGCTGCCGAGCAAGCCGGAATCCGCAAGGGCGATCGCATTCTCGAAGTGTAAGTGCACATACATTTTACTTTCATTCTTTTCATTCAACAAAAAAACACACCGGTGATCGAACCGGATCCGCGATCGATCTTATTGGTCGATACATCGATGTCGTTATTGACGTTACCATGGCAATGCCATAACAACGCTCTTGTTTCCATGATAAATTGTGTGAAATATCGATCGGTTGGACGAGTTGCAAGTCTTTAAAATTCCGCATCGCATGATTGCATTACAATTTCACTCCATTCTTTTGAGTGCATTGCTTGTGCAGTCGACGTTGCGATTTGTATGCGTGGTTGTTTTTTTTATATGCGCGCAACAAATACAAACAGCTACGCAGCGTTTCAGTTTCATTTCGTTTTCTGTGTCAACGTCGAGTCATTGCGATTGATCATATTATACAACCATTAAATGATTAAACTATCGGTTTCATTGAGGACATCAATCAAATCAGTCATGTCAAAGCTAACAAGACAAAACGCAATCGATTCACAAACCAATTTTATCAGAAATGTTCTATATTAATTAATTTTTAATAACATTTTAAGGTTATTATGTCAATACGTTTAAATTATAATATTTCTGCTATATTTTCTTATTTAAATTATTTTTCTTTTACTAATGATTGTTTTGCGTTATAAAAATAGAGTTATTTGCAAAGGCATCTATAAACGTTCGAAGTTGACATTGATTAATTATGTGTATTTGAATGTGAACGCTCCGCTTGGCAGATTTAACAGTAACTGTACATTTTTTGTAAGTGCGCACGTAATTTAGTTGTATGTAATGCTGATTTGTTGATATGCTGGCAATTGAAATATGTGCTTGATGGGTTTAAACGGTTTAAAGTGTTTATCATGTACATTGCGATGCGTTTCGGTAGCGCAGCCGGCTTCACCGAGTGCGAATCTACAGTTATTGGATTACATTAGCCTGCAAATGATGGGCGCGTGGCGAATCTAAAAATAAATAACGACGAAGTAACAAAACGTTTTATTTTTGTTATTTAATTACATTAGTACGAATTTAGTACGTATGATACTAAAATGTGCGTAATATAAGTAATATGCGTGTTGGAATTTGCTTCTCTCGCGCAAATGTACATTTTAATATTATTATTTTAGCATAACTAATCACTTCAAGTGTTGCGTTTGCTGTAGGCTCACAGGTTGTGTTGCTGAAGAACTGGTTACATAAATGTTTTTTGTTGTTTGCGCGAGGAGATGTGAGTTTGCACGCGAAGCAGACGTCGATGTTCGAATGAAATGCGATTGCAACTCGGCAAAGAAGCGATTCGCTGCTTTAATTAGAGTTCATGAACATTTCTGACCTTTTGGCGCATTGTGAGTCGAAACAAAGCATTCACTGCAAGTATCTATGTCGAAATTGATTTATCTATCTTGTATATACTTGTGGTAGAAGTAAAAACGGCTTAGACGAATAGAATTATCTTTTTTGATTGGTTTATTACTACACAGTAGTTTTGATAGAAAGAAGACTTTTGAAGAAATCTTAGAGTACAGGTAAAAACGAAAAGTTTTGTTTGTTTGTCTTAAAAAAAAACAAAAAAAGGAGAAATCTTAGGGTGCGAAATACCGGTATTTAAAAAAAATGACACGGTATTACCCTCGAAATACCGGTTTTTCATTCAATATTTACATCCCTACTAGAGACTTGTCCAGGTTAACCACCCAGGCATACTTGAGCACTAAATCGCTGCAAACTGTCCTTTTATATCTTTGGACTACCCGCAAAAAGTGGTGGGGGTAAAACCTCGCTTCGTTGATCTACGCGCGCAAATTCAAGTCATCAAGAGTCTTTTATTATTTATAAGACATACTTATGATTAAAATCGTAGCAAGTTGTATATTCAGTTGCCTAATGCCAAGAAGCAAATTAAATTTACTTCATCAATATAACGAATATCATATTCCAGTTCACCAACAAACAATTTGTAACTTATGAAACCAAATTATACGAATTCACTCGAAATGATTGATCGAAATAAATGCTGTAATTAAAGTTAAAGTTTAAAGATCACAGTGGAGCATGACGACAAATTAAACACACGTGTAGCGTCGCTTACGCACTTACCGACGCGCTTTTACGGTTCAACGCGATGTTGTCGTTAAGTTTGGGTTCGTGTTTAATTATTATCGGTCGCCGGCAATTATATGTTTAAATGCGACAATGTTTTTCCTATTTGTCCGCACAAATTGACTCGCTCACGTAGCTACAATCTATAATTAAATTTGATTTACATACGTGCATTTTAATTAATTTGCTCTGAGGCCGCAGACAAGACGCAGAAACGCATATAGAAACAAAACGAGATATTTATTGAGTGGATTAATATTTATACTTAAATATTATCAGGTTTTTGTATAAATTTTGTATGAAAATGGAAAATTTTCGTGATTGACTTTGAGTTATTTCTTTATTAACTTGATTCTCTTAGGTCGAGGCTCAACAAGTCAAGTTAAAGACAAGAGAAAGTATTTTATAAAAGACACACACTCTTTTTATTTATCTTAAAGGTCAGTTGCCATCGAGCACGTTGTTTGTACCTACGCGCCGACGACGTTTCAATCGTCGCGCAACTTCCAATCTTGAAGTCAGTCATTACTCTTGTTTTCATTCATTGCTACCAGCGGTGGATTTGTTTTTACTCATTTTTTTGCCAACGCGGTTTTTTATCGATAGAGTTCGGTGTGGTTCAGTTCAATTTTTTTCGATAAGCAACCAAACATAAAATTTTATTGCCACCGGCTTATCTACAAGAGGAAAACACTTGTCACGCGCGCATCATTGTCTCCTCCACGGTAGAATCGTGCGTTGTGATTGGGGATAATCGATGTTGTGTTTACTTAATTTTTGTTATCTGAGGCAGCGCCGGCGGGCGCGCGCTTAAAAGTGGCGAACCTTTTACCTAAATGTCATATCTGTGCGCCGCGTCGTGTTTCGTTGTTGTTGCAGCGCGTGAAGTGTGCATGATCGATGGCAAATGCCTTAAAATGTTGAGCTATCACGTGTGTCTACCATATGTTAATTGTACTTCGTACAATAGGTAAAGATAACTATTTCTTAAGACGTTGAAATTAATTTGGTTGTGTTTCTTGTTACAGGAATAGTGTGAATGTCGAGGGTGCTACGCACAAACAAGTCGTCGATCTTATCAAATCCGGTGGAGATGTTCTCACACTTACTGTTATCTCAGTTACGCAGCAGGTAAATGTTTATTAGTTTCGAGTAGAAAACCAGAAATATATGTCGCCAAATCTCAAGGTCGCGCATTCCTCTATCGCAAAGTTTAAACTAAAGGTTACCATTGTGACATTTCGTTAAGTGTAGAAAAAAGTTTGCATCAAATGTATCTCTGTATGTCGCAATAAGCTGACCCAGATTGCGACGCGCCTCTCTCGCATCTTGTGCACGACGAAATAATAAATTTGAATGCGTTTTAGGAAGCCGAAAGGCTGGAGCCGTCCGAAGAGCACCAGGGCTATACGTACATGGACTACAGCGAGAAGCGCTCGCTGCCCATCTCGATACCCGACTACAATTACAATGAACGCGGCGGTGAGCGCTATGTCGCCTTCAATATCTACATGGCGGGGCGGCATCTGTGCTCGCGGCGCTATCGTGAATTTGACCAGCTGCATCAGGACCTCAAGAAGGAGTTTGTCGGGTTTACGTTCCCGAAGCTGCCGGGAAAGTGGCCGTTTAATCTCAGCGAGCAGCAGCTGGATGCACGCCGTCGTGGGTTAGAGCAGTATCTTGAGAAGGTGTGCGCCATCAAGGTTATTGCGGAAAGCGATGTCATGCAGGAGTTTCTTACTGATCATGATGATGAGTCGAATAGCAATCCTGTTGATTTAAAGGTGAATAATTTTTATTTTGTAAAATAAAAGATTTTAATTTAATTTTGTTGTTTTATAGGTTTTGTTGCCAGACCGTGAAGTAATTACGGTAACTGTGAAGAAGAGCGCGAATGCAGATGAGGTTTATGCGGCTGTAGTGAAGAAAGTGGGAATGAACAAGCAGATTGCCAAATATTTTTATTTATTTGAAATTGTCGAATATAATTTTGGTAAGTTTAAAATAAGAATATTTATGAAGATATTATACTAATATGTTTATTTGTAGAGCGGAAATTGTTGCCTTCTGATTACCCGCACAATTTCTACATTCAAAACTACACCACAGCGACCAGTACCTGTTTGTGCATCCGGAAATGGCTGTTTTCCATCCCTAAAGAATTAACGTTGATGTCGGATGCTCTCGCTACTTCATACATCTTTTGGCAGGTAAATATTTAATAGATTTTGTTTTATGTAATATTTTTATTGAATGTGTTTGTTATTTAAGGCTGTGGATGAAGTAAATCGCGGTTATATCCAAGCCGGCGAACGCCTCTATCAGTTGAAAGCCCTCCAGGATCAAACACGCGCCACCGAATATCTGCGACTGGCGCGTGAGCTTGCCGGCTACGGCGAGGTGGTGTTCCCGCACTGTGGATGTGATTCGCGAAAAGGTGGCCACGTTATTGTCAGTGTGGGCACGGTAGGCATCAAACTACACGCGTGTCGCGAAGATGGCACTCTCGAAAGTCAGGTGGTCGAGCTCGCTTGGGACTCAGTCGCACAATGGGAAGTCGACGACGAGGCGATGGCGTTCTGCCTAAAATATAATCGCGCTGATAAAGCGCCGAGATGGGTTAAAGTGTTTACGCCTCATGTATGTATTCAAGATAATCAGTTAGCGCCTATTTGATTCGTTTTGTTTTAGTACCTGTACTTGATGGACTGCTGCGAACGAATAATGGAAGAAAGCAAGTGGGTCGACACCGGCGAGAGAATAGGCAACTGAATAGCATAAGAATCTCGCGTAACGCGCGCTCTAAATCACATACTTCACTCCTCACCTAGTTAGGGCATACACTTTTCTCCCCTTCAGAGGGATGCCAATGATTGTATATTGTTATCGATAAAGACAAGAGAAAAACGAAGGTAATAATGAACAGAACACAGAAGACGATGGTCTGTTTCACGTAGATTGTAATGTTTAATTGTATATCATGTCATTTCCACTACGATTGCTAAGACATTTCGGACATAACGCAATTTTTCAAACCCACTTCGGTAACGAGGTGAAATTCTAAGACTAAGAATGTGTTACTAGTGTGTGGTAGTTACTGGTTAATAGTTAGCACAAGTATTATCTCCTCTACTTGAAAATTGTTTATTTGTTTGATTGTTTTTCATGCAACTTAAGTGTTACTTGTGATAGAAATATTTAAATTGATTGGATATTCTAACAATGGGGAGGAAGAGAACACACACACACTAAGCAAAGTAATTAAATTTAATGAAAAAGAACTTTATTATATAGGTAAATAAATTGTGTACAATTGTGTAATGTTGTACATGAACAGATAGGCGTAAAATTATCAAGCATACTATATTGTAAGCATAACTATTAGGTGTTAGAAATCATTCATATATGTTTAACAATGCAAACAAGATACACAAAACAAAGAGATTCTGTAAAGTATTAGCAAAACTGGAACGGGAGAATTCCGGAGGAACGTTACGTCATATATTCTATTAAGTTTTATTATAATTTTGCTCAAGAGAAATGCGTGCGACGAGTAGACTCACGCGAGGCGCTATTTATGCAGTAATTAGATAAATGTAATGTAATGTACTGAAAGTACAGAGCTGTGCGAAAGTCGAGTGATGCGATTGTCGATAGCAGGACACTGCCATAGTATTGTAATTAATAAAGCGCGCTTGTGCGCTAGGCGGAAGGATCGTGATTGACCCGAGAGCAATCATCACAATGTGCTGCGTCCACCTGGCACATACACATTGGACATATTAACATTCACACAACACACACACAAACACCATGCATTAATTGATTAGTGAATAATTTTGCCGCCTTTTTTGCGATTGGTTGCGCATAATCAAACCGAGTGTAAGAGACGTCGTGCAAACAAATGCAATATAGAGTAAATTAAGTACTTCTCGATTCGTACACATGTACATACATAATCTGGCATTTGGTTGGGAAAGCGTCGTTGCGCCGGCGATAAACTACCTGATGATACATGGTGTCTTAAAAAACGATTTTCGCATTTTTGTTGTTAAGTTTCGAGAATGAAAATGTTTATTGTGATATTTATCCCTTATAGCTTTACATTACAATAAATGATAACTATTGTAAAACTCTAATGTTACGTACGTATATCTTGTCAGGTTCATGAAATTTGATTATTATTATTACATCTCTATTTCGTATTTATTTACTTGTATGTAATTCTTCAATCAATATTTTTAAAGTGTTTTGTAACCATACACAATGCAATCTTAATTGTAATTTAAAGATGTATTAATTTTGATGAAGATGTATTTAATACGTTTTATGTTTGTTTCAGGAGTCTTGCAATCAAACGTGATCTCCCAGCAGAGGATTCAGATCGTGAGTATTAAAACTGTATCAGTTTTATAAATGACTTATCAGATTAATCCATGAGAACGCCACAAGAATATGAGTTGAATTTGTGTTTTAAACGCGAATGATTTGTTGAATAGCGAAAGAGTAACTGCATTGCAGTTTTCTGTGATAGGGTAGCACTAGTAGATGTATTCGAAACGAGATGGCGCTAGCGGTTTGATGTTGTTATTTGTTCTTCTCATCGCTCCAAGGTGGCGCTAGTGTCGCTTTACTTTGGCTATTTTCCTTTTCTACTTACTAGTGTTGATTTACTGCGGTGCTTGCTCAGTCGTACGCTCCTGTGCGCTGTGTACGTTCTCGGCTCGGCAAATCTTTGCATCTTCTCTAGTTTCTAGATTGGAATTCGGTATTATGTGCGGTTCTGCATGTCTGCGGTAGGATTTATTTGGTTCACATTGTTATTTCAATTAATTTCTTTTCTGAAATTTAGTGCACAAGTAAGTTAATAATTAAATAATTTTGTAGGTTTAAATTAGTCATTGCAAATTTTATTATTTTCATGTGTAAAGTAGATAATCCTTTTTCTGATCTTTTAGCTTGCCGGCTAGCGAAGTAAAATTAAGAATCCGGCTACATTTTTTAAAATTCTAACTATCGTAACGTGACACGCTGAGATTTGCCGATGTTACCCACTTGTTTTAAATCTTTGTCATTAATTTGAATTGGTTCTTACAACGGTTTGAACCGGGTAATGTTTATATCGTCTTCGAGTAATGTTGAATGAAAAATTGGTTTTGTTTGATCTAGGTGTTTTGAATATGATCATTTTTTGTACTGATGGTTACATTGCAGCATAGTACATGTACTACTTGCATTAAATGGTGAGTGTTGAAATTCTTTATTATTTTATAAACGGCGCTACTATCTGCTTAGTTCACATTGTCTATCAACTCTTTTACCTGCTTAGTCGGTCATGTACACTTGTACAAAGCGTACGTGTTTTGTTCGGCAGTCGTTCATCGTGGCAACTTCTCGCTTCTCTTGAGATGTGAATTCGATATTTAGTATTAGAGTTGGTAGGTCGTCTAAGATATTTGGTTATTACAAGTGATTGCGTCGTTCAGTTAATAATTTATCGCGAGTTAACACATAATGGAGTGGATACATACAGTGCACGGGCGTTTTCCGTCGGCAGGCGGATTTCGTTTATGTATTTTATATATAATTGTTTACACAAGGAAATAAAACCTTGTATGTTTACCGTGTTGATTGCAGATCACCCGCGTAGTAGGAATATGGTGAGAACTTTTATTATACGTTCAACTGACAAGTTTTAAGTCTTATGCATAAACCCTCTTCGTTGTAGTTATATCAAAATAAAATATTAATTAATATAACAATTATAAGAATGTTATTGTTTGTATCCTCCTTGCCGTTTCCAGAAATAGTAACAATATTTCATATATTTCGCTGCAGGTGTTTGTATGATGGCTATATAGTGTTGTTGTTTTTAAAAAGGTGAGAAAAACAACAACATTTATACCTGAAACGAATATGTTTAGATAAGTGAGCGTTGTGGCTCAGGTGGCATGTGCATATCCTAGCATGCTGAAGGTTCGTGGATCGAATCTCAGTTGTAGAAGGCAATTTTATTAAATAATAAGAAATTTACGAAATGTGGGTTGCATGCCATAAAAATTCAAGATTCAAATGTTAGAAATAACTTGAAAAGCAGAGTACGACGAAGCAACAGTAAGAATAGTAGAAGAGATGGTGGAGGAGTAAGGAAAAACGAGTAAGTAGAGAGAGCAGCAGCAGGAGAGAATGGGAGAAACAAGAAGAGAAGAGAGAGAGTACAGGAAGAAAAGAGATAGGAGTGACAGAATTTTTAAATTTTTTGGCACGTGTCGTTATAAGACAGTCACAGGTCCACAGGCCCACTGCTTCAGTCCGTCCATTGCTCCCGGCCCATCCTACAGCTACGATGTCTCTGCGCTTCATCCCCGGAATTATCAGGCATATCAACAATTTTTATGGTGGGGGATCATCCCCAGAGAGGGGGAACTCCTTATAAGGACATCCTTTTAAGGACTTGTAAAAATATTTCTAATTTTTAAGTCGCCTCAAGAGAGGGGACCCTTAAAAATATTCTTACAAGTTCTGACCTGTAGCTGAAATGAAAGATGGAGTACACAAATCACACAGGATACCTTAACAATTTTTATAGTGGGGATCATCCCCTGAGAGAGGGAACTCTCTTAGAGACCTGTTCCTGAAATGATAGAAAGGAGGGATGCACAAGTCATAAGACACAGCCATTGCCTTTAACATTTCTTTATTAACAAACTAAATACAATATAACTTTAGAATTTGCAATTTCTATACCTACAAAACACGTGACGTCATTTTAAAACATGTTTATGACCTGCATAGCCGTGCTATGCTAACGGTTGCGAAATTTCAAAAGATAACACTGGAAAAAAGCAAATTGCGTCCTGTTTTCGCGTGACATTAGTGGAAAATTATATACAGGGTGTTACCAAAAGAAAATTTTCAATTCAAAAAGAAAATCACCCCAAAACAATAAATATTGTCAATTTTTGGCTGCGCATAAAGGAAAATTTACATACTGGGTGTTGTCAAAAGAAAATCTTCACTTGAAAAAGAAAATCGCCCCAAAACAATATAATTATGCTCATTTTTCACAGAGCATTAAGAAAATTTATATACAGGGTGATACAAAATCAAAATTAAAAGTGAATGTTTTATTACCTGTTTTCTACTGTTTATCTAGGGGAAGTGATAAGTACGTGAATAGAAACATAATAAATATTACAACAACTAATAATTATAAATTTATTAAACACATTTTAAAGAAATACTAAATTCAGATCTCTTAAACACACAAAATAGCACAGACAGAATTATGAATACAAAAGCAAAAAGAAGGCACGACAAAGTCTCGAATGCGCAGCCGACGGAACGCGACAATATTCCAATACTTGTATTACAAAGGTTATTATATGCAACCATGTGACGACTATGCTATGTATTAAAGTGTTAACTAATTTTTCTGATCGTTTTTCCTTATAAGGTTGGTAATTGTAATAGAATATAGTTTTTATGTTACATACTTTTTACGTTTTCGCAGATGAAATATTCCATACGATGCACAAATGATGTATATTCAAATTAATAATTAAATGGATACACGAAACAAGCCTGAGTATTTCTTAGCCGACGGAAGATATCCGACGGCCGACAGAAAACACGTGGTGCGTACGTTGTAAAACCACGAAATCCTTGGTTCCACGCGCGATAACTCATTAACTTTAGACCGCACTTGTCTGTTAATTCTAAATCTTTTCTTTTGTAACTGATTATAATTCAAGTAACGACTTAAAATCACAAGAAACGCGACAAGTCGCCATGAAGACCGCCGCGCAAGTAAACGAGTGCACACTACGCCGCAGCGCACGATCGACTAAATAAGAAATGGCACAAACACTGCTGAGCGCATCGGATGCGAATCGGATTGCAACGCAATAAAAACAAGTTGTTTGTGCACTAACACCGATAAGAGCCAAGATTGCGAACTACGAGTATAAACTATTCATGTTGTGGATACAGTTCAATGCAATGGATTTTATATTCTGAACGTACCCTCTTATTCACATAAACAATGTATCCTACAATCCGGAATTGAATGCAGTCTATATGAAAAGGCAGTTTAGGAGATAATTGCAATTGAAAAATCTGGGAACAACAAGGCAAATCTCTTATATTAGCTCCTTTAACAACTATTATTGAACTTTTACTTCAGGTAATTAATATATTTCATTATCCCGTGCTATAAAGAATTTTTGGAAGTTTTATAATCTTCAATCACGTGACGAGGGTGACGGTAAAAGTGACTCCCATTCAGGGCATCGAACGAGGGTAGCGGTAGAAGTGACTCGTGTTCAGGGCACCGTACGAGGCTAGCGGTAGCAGTGACTCGATTTAGGGTACCTTACGAGGCTAGCGGTAAAAGTGACTAAACTACAATTCCTAGCACAACGAGTACGGGTGCGTATACACAAAACTTTCAATATAACTCGTGTTACGGAAGTTTCTCGTAATATATTTAAATACAGGGAGATGCAGAATTAAATTCGGCATCTGGAAAAATTATTTCAAACTAATTATGACACCGCCTTCGCGTGTTATAACATAAAAACTGCAATTCCTAGCGCAACGAGTACTACGGCATACACACACAACTTTCAATATAACTCGCGTCACGGAATTGTTTTGCAATAAATGTCAATACAGGGAGATACAGAATTAAATTCTGCACCTGGGAAGAGTATTTCAACCTAATTGTGATACCGCGTTCGCGTGTTCTAACAAGAAAACTACAATTCTTAGCGCTACGAGTACTAGTTAGTGCGTATACACACAACATTCAACATAACTCGTGTCACGGAATTTTCTTGCAATAAATTTCAATACAGGAAGTTACAGAATTAAATTCCGCATCAGAAAAAATGATTTCGAACTTATTTTGAGAACGCGTTCGCGTGTTATAACAAAAAAAACTAGCGCAACAAGTACTACGGCACACAGACACCACTTTCAATATAACTCGCGTCACGAAATTTTCTTGCAATAAATTTCAATACAGGGACATATAGAATTAAATTCTGCACCTGGGAAAATTATTTCAACCTAATTGTGACACCGCGTTCGTGTGTTAAAACATAAGAACTACAATTCCTAGCGCAACGAGTACTAC